TCTCGCTCATCTATTGACCCTAGTTCTAACTGTAATGATGGCGGTTGGGTGTACTTAGAAGCTTCAAAGTGCTATCAACAAACATATATTAAAATGGTAAGAAGAAAAAGGTCATGAAGTAGAAGACAATTGGTGGAAAATAATAAAACTGCTTTATAATGAACTATAGAATAATCCAATACAGAATATGCAAAGAAAAATAAGTGAATTATAGATTATCACACTGTATTTTCAGTGTTTGTCGTTCGAACAATTTTTTCATCGCTCGCACGTACATAAAATCTCGAGTTCACCGTGCGGTGGCCTCTCGATTTTATCCACGTTACTTTTCCGTAACTTTGTATTGATATGTTTATGACGGACTATTTTCTTACGCAAATCACTTATGTGTGAACACTGTTTTCGGTTTCTGACGTCATCTGGCGCGAGCAGACGTTATGTTTTGAGAAAAATCCGTTGGGGGAGTATTGCCGATTTTATAAAAGGCATACCACACTGCATAAGAACAGAAGAAGAAATATACAAAAAATATAAACATTTATATGGGACATGACAAATAGCAAAAAATATTAATATTAAACATGAAATTCACCAGTTCATAGAAACACAATGAGTGATAGCGAGAGAGTAAAATATTATTTCTTAAAAAAATGACATTGAAAACCTTTTCCATCATTTAAGCTTCCAACCGGTGTGCACATGGATTTCTTATTGCTATATATTTGTAAAAGTATGTTGCGGTTTCCAAAAACATCAGTACGCCCAATATGCGTGCAATCATAACCATAGACTATGCGCTGTGCCCTATCACTCATCTGTCAAAGCTTCAACTAGGATGAAGGGGAAAATATAAACAACACAAAAATTCAAAACACTTTAAAGAAAAAAAAGAAAAAAAAAGAGAAAAAAAGGCACATTTACTCACGCTCCCGCTACTAAAATTGCTAACACGAACCTGACTGGTGGAAACGTTAAGTTAAACATGATTCTTCAAAATACCAAATGTGATATATATGTGACGAAAAAGTCCCTTTTTCCAAAGCTTGAACGTAACATTTACTTAAATAGATTTCGGGAGACTTTTCATCAAGTATTCCATTCAAAAATAACCACCAAATTTGTTTTATTATGGAGTCTAACTTCAAATATACCAGTTAGAGTCATGCTAGGACATTGAAAACAAGCGGACATACAAATTAAGTTTCTCTTTAAAAGCGGATGTCCGAAAAAATCTTAAAATCTTAAAGGAAGAGAGAATTAAGAGATAAATAAGAAATGTTGAGGAAATTGTGCATTCAGGATAAAGGAGTTCCGGATCTGACGGTCCCGATACCCATTTGTTATTTAGATGTTTTACACAAAAACACTTATTTCGTTGTAACAACGTGAATTATCACAGGAACCTTTCAGGAGACTTCCATTTGCACCGGTCTGTGTAGGAAATTTATTGGAGTCATTTTTTTGCTCGAAAAACCCCACAGAATGTGCTGTTTATCAATCCTGTACAGTATATAGCACAATATGATTTTTTACCATCGGTAGAATAGTTTGTTGGAAATAGTTTTCTGTCTGAAAGGTGACTTTTCAGGGGAGATAACTGCACGCGAAAAACCTTGATAACATGATAAAATTATAACCACATACATGTATTACTGACGTTTCCGTGTAGTTGATGCTATCGATAAAACTGCAAGGAAATGTTTGAAACTTTTACGGGATTCACATTTATTTCCAGTAAGTGTTAGTAGCTTATGTTGGGTCTGTGTGTTATTATCATTGCCTACTACTACTACTAATAATAATAATAACAATAATTCGGGGTTCCTATATACCGTTTTATCACAACCTAGTTCTTCGGTCGTCCCAAAGCGGTTCACAAATTATCATCTGTGGTTATAGGGCGTTTGCAACCAGCCAATATCTTTCTCAACTCCATGTGAAGCATACAGTCGGAGCTGTCATTTCGGCGCCAATAGCTAGCATTAAACAATTCTAGCACTGCCCAACCACGTACTCATTTACAGCTGAGTAGACTGGAACAAGTAAAGTATCTTGCTCAAAGATACAACCCAGTGCCGTGTAAGCAATGGCTGTTTAATCTCATTTCAATGTTATGCTGGAAGAAATAAAGATACGGATGAGCTACTGTTGAATTAGGTTAATACATCACTTCCCGCAGCTGTAATCTGTGTCAGAGTAGTAGACTTTTCTGTATAGCGTATATGGGAAAGTTCTATATGTTGTAACGCTATAAATACTTTGGATAATAACTATTCACACACATGACCTAAATCTGAATTGTCAGAAGAAGGTGAACTTGTGTAGCCACGTGTAAAGGTTTTGTTTATGGCAGTATTTTCAACATTAATTCATGTTTATGCAGAGAATAAATGATGGTTTCATTAAATATTTATAGATTATCACACCGTATTATCAGTGTTTGTCAAGAGAACAATTTTCTCATCGCGAAAACGTGGATAAAATCGAGAGGCCACCGCAGGTTGACTCGAGATTTTATCTACGTGCCAGCGATGAGAAAATTGTTCAAACGACAAACACTGAAAATACAGTGTGATAAACTATTTATCATCTATATGCTACTACCTTATATATTTCTCCATTCAAAAAACTCAACGAAACACCATGTTTACCAAATTACTTCTAAGCTCACTGGTCAACGATCAAATAGAAGTTTTCCGCGGAGGAATACAACGAACCATAAAAACGAAGAAAAAAAACATTTTTAAAAAAATCCTATCGTCATTGGCAAATGCACATTTACACCTGAAATGGTGCTGTTATTCTCACAATATTTTTCCGTTACTCTGTATTGATATGTTTATGACGGACTATTTTCTGGCGCGAGCAGTATTTCTTTTTTGAGAAAATACGTTCCTAAGTGCTGGGGTATGGGAAAATCCGTTCTCAAGTCGTTCTTAACTTCTCATACTGACAACCAATGATAATGAATGTGTCATGCTACCGGTAGGTGGTATAAAGTAGCATATAGATGATAACACGTATTATCACTACATGAACAAAAATGTGTCACTCTTCCACACATCAAACATTCTATTACATTTTTTACATTACATTTATTTTTCATTACATAACAATAAACAAGTATCATACCATCGTATATAGGTCAGGTAGAGTAAACCTAAAATCATAGATTATTATTACAGACACATGTATCAATGTAATAGAAATAAATCATATTGCCGCCAGTAGTGATATGTTCTTACAAAAATAGTACGTGTAATATGTACAATTCTACGTTGTTTCAGAAACCCAGGGGCAATTGAACCAAAAAACAACGTTTTTTTCTTTCCCACAATTCTTTTTCTCTTTTCCGTATTCAGCATTAAAAGAAAAAAAGTTCCCCTTGTATTACTCCATCAATTTCACAAATTCTCTATTTAATTGGAGTATAATCATCATGCAGGCTGATGCTAATTCACAGATTGCTGTACCGTTATGTTCATTACCATCACTCTTAAAATTACAAAACACTTATTATACTTGATCAAATCGTGTAATTCAATGAGAAACATTCTTTAAATGGATGTTTTTACTCATTTGCTTAGGCCAGATTTTGTATTATAATTTTAAATTAAAAAAAAGTCGATACACATAGGAAACTGTTCATAATTAGTTATCTTTTTGCATTAGTTGTTCACACTAACACCGACAATAATTTGCTTTAACAAACGATAGCAATGAGCATGGATAAGCTCTGGGTTATCAGATAAGAAGCAAGTATTTTGTTACGCCTATACTGATCTAGAATTTTAAAGCTGACAAATATTCACATCAATCAGTGTCATCCTATAAAAGCAGGCGACGAATACATATTTGTACTTTGTCCTTGTTTTTTAATCATGTTTTGAAAAACAGTTTAAAATAAAATGACTTCTGATATTTGTTGTTCAATAACGTTAAGCTGGAATAAGCCACTCTATAGCGCTTTACAATAGCATTTGATGGTGAACATTATTTCGTTTAAATAAACTAAAAATTTAATAAAATAAATATATTTTTATTTTTATTTCATGTAAAAGGCCTTATTGTGTTTAATGCCATGACGGATGATTTCATTAATACTTGAAACAAGTAAATAATTGTTTGGACAGAAAATTCCACAAACATGTCTGGTGTCAGCTCCATGTTGCTTCATTTATGACAGATCTTCAATATTTGAAGCAATAGTATTATTAAGAACAACAACAGTATACTCAAAATTAGGTAAAATGAAATAGTTATACATTTAAACATGTTGTTTCTATTGGTCACGTGCGTTGTATAGTATAACCATTATGTTGCCTACCTACTTAAGGAATCGGGATATGTGTGGGAGAGATCAACCGTCAATAAATAGATAAATAAACAGAAGGGGAACTAAATAGAGCCTTGAGGAACTCCCTCGTTTATAATATTACAAGAGAGTATAACATATGTACTTTCTGTTGCCTATCAGATGTAGGTAATTTGTAAACCAGCTCAATAGATATTACATAGACAATTAAAACGACTCTTTCAAACACTTCCGACACAATAGAGAGAAAAAAATAAAACAGTTTAAAAATCTGAAAAACAATGACCGAATAATAATATGTGATACCTATTTTATTGGCTGTATTAAATAAAATATCATATTGTTTAGACAAAAGGACGTTCAAGGTAGCTATCTTCTTAACACTTGATTTCTTTTTCGGAACAAAAATAATGTGCATTTCCCCATTTTTTCAACTCTCTCGAAATCGGTCAACAATAGTTTTTGAAAGAAATAATGTATGATTTAGATAGTTAACTTAATACACGTTTTTTTTGTGATATTTCCCTTAATGTGAAAGTTCACAATACATGGTGCGCTTCATCCTTGAATCAAGTGACACCCAATTTCGTTCTCTGCACCCCTGGAATATGTCATAGCAAAATCGAAGGCTCAGTGTGCAGCACTTTGTGGACGAGACGAGAAGACTAGTTTGATCCTTTGATGTACATCAAAAGAATCTCGCGGTCGCGTATCGGTAAAACTTTCAGGCTTTGAAGTCGGGTGTCGCTCCTCTGTTTCTTCAAAGAACAAACATCAGCCTAGTAATTGGTCATGATTTTTTACCCGAAACCAATCAAACAGCTGGCCGCGTGCCTTCGATTTTACTATAACATATTCCAGGGGTGTAGAGAGCGAAAGTGAGTAACCCCTGGATATCAAGGATGCCCCTTTGTGTTTCAACTTGAAGGGATAACACGCATACTTTTATGTACATGCATACTAATTGATTCAGGGGTTCAGACATCATGTTTTTTTCTGAATAACTTGTTTTCTTATTTATCAACCAGTCGCGTGCGTCGATTCCATTTCATTTAAAATTAAATGTGATATTTACTGGATATGTGCCATTCTCATCTAACGTTAAAACTCTCGTGTAAACAGGGTTAAAGAAGACAAGCATCAACTACACTCCAGTAAACTTAGTGACAGCGGGTCCGTATTATCTACCCCACTGGGAAGGTAGGTTTTTCTACCGCTGTCTATTGGCATGATGTCTCAGTGCGCCTGTACCCGTCAGACAGTCTCGACAGTAGAACGGAATTTTTTGATCTGGGCGTAACCTGTCAGTCAGACGCACAGTCGATGGTCAAATAACTTTCCTCTCAATACACATGAAAAAATTATCTCATTCCATTGATATAAAAATTTGTAGTTTTTGGATACGAGTTTTGTTCGGTCCAGCTACAAGCTACATGTAACACCACATTGGTTTGGTTTAGTTTTATTTTGTTAAACGCCCCGTTAACAGATAAGGACATAGGGACGTTCATCGAAGTGTAAAATGTATGCGTGCTGGTGTTTGTGTGTGCTTGGTATGCCGATGCATTTGCCTCCATTCGATAGCGCGGATCTGATGAAGACTTAAGAGTGCTACCTCACTGAAATACCATGCCAAAGGCATCCAGCACAAAATTCTACCAGGTCACATTATACTGACAACGGGTAAGCCAGTTGTTGCGATAACTCTAAATGATGAATGCAGGGAATAACTATCAATGTTAAGGACTTTGGTATGCCCCGGCCTGAGGACAGAACCTACAGCCGACCCACTTAAGCCAAACGTGAGGCACTGCCAAGCAAGGCACAAGGAAACAAAGCAGAGTGTAACAGTGATGACGCTTCAATCCGTTGTTCTTTTATGACTAACCGTTTTAAGCGTTAATACTACAATGTCATTACATAAAAGAGGCTCCATACAAATGGACCCGGATTGGTCCGTCAATACCCAAACTAAATTCCTAAATCGTTATCGGCAGCCATCTTTCACCTGGATATCTCTGTCATCCGTTATCCACTTCCGAACCAAGCTTTTCCAGGACCGACTCTCTGTCCATCCCACTAACTACAATCAGCTTCTGTCTTGATCTGGAGCCCTGAAATACACATCAATATCGACATTCAATTATCGTTAATTTCAATTGTATGTAATAAGAAAGAAAGATTGAAACTGCAGGTCACCAACCACGTACTATATACCTGATCCGAAGTCTTGAGATAACGATCTGTGTGTCTGTTACGAAACCTTGAGGTTATGACCCACGTGTCTGTCTTGAAGCCTTGCAAGCTGGCGATTACGACCCAAGTTGCTGTGGCACGAAGCCTTGAAATTACTACATACATGTATATGTCTTTGGTACTAAGCCTTCAATTTTAAAAACAAAATTAAGCTGAATTATAAATTTACCTTATCAATTGAAACATCTGCTTTCCTTACACCTAGCACCTTGGACAGGTATTTCACCAACGCCGTGTTCGCTTCTCCGTCGACAGGTGGCGCCGATATCTGTACCCCTACTCCTTCCTCTCCGATATCTGTTAACCACACATGAAACCTATACTTATCCGTTGTCATATGACTTTTCATGCTTACCGCCAATCAATTAAAAAATCATTTATAACAGCAAACACCGTTCAAAACATCATTGGCGATATTAAAAGTTCGTAAATTGTACCAATTTTACTAAAGTTCATAGAGGATATTACATGTAGTTGACATGGTCAATAATGCCTCTATAATTGGTCACATTAATATAATGGAAAAAAATGTTTTCATCTCAATTTCAATTACATTCCTATATATGGAATCAACGCCGTTCAGTCTCTATGATATTACAGTATGTACTGAGAGTAATCGTATGAGGCGACTAATGTGGGTCCCGCTCCCTTTAAAGGCACCGTACAAACCTAAGTTGATACCCCCACCTCCTTCCCCCATCACCAATTCCACAATTTTCTTATATTTCGTACCCTAACTTTCTATTCGTGTTCTTTCCTTAGACACAATCTCTATATGGCCGCAAGGACGTAACCCCATTTATCTTCTATTCTACAGATGTGCTCCTATCTTGAAAAATGAATTATCTTCGCTCAGTGATAAATTGTTGAATAATTATAATACAATTACTAAATTATAGAAGTATTTGCTATTTCGTACAAGGGATTTTAAAGGCTGTGCCGGGAAGTTCTTCAAGGGCATTTTCATCACTTCCGCTCAAATCACTGTCTTGTCACCTCGACAGATCTGCCCATTATCTTGTTTTCAATCCCTTGACGTTGTGTCTGTCAAACTCCGTGAATTTAAAAACAAACAATTGGAAGGAAAGATTTGCTCAAGATTTTCAAGAAAATGTCAATCAACACGAGACTTTAAAAGAGCGTACACTAAATCGTCATACGTGGTCAATAGACAGACGGACGTATAAGTCCCGTTAGAAGGCACACACGTAATCAATGGACACTAGACAGACGGACGTCCGTGTCACGTTAGTAGACACACAAGTAACCCACGGACACTAGACAGATGCATGTCTAAGTCACGTTAGTAAGCACACGAGTAATCAATGGACACTAGACAGACGGACGTCCATGTAACGTTAGTAAGCACACAAGGTTCCGACGGACATCAGACAAACCAGACAGAAGGATCAGCAGGACAATGACAAACTCAACAAGAAGACAAGCGTAACCATGCCTCATTGGATATTGCCTATGAATGCCAAATGAAAGAAGCTCAATGATAAACATATAAGACATGTGGACGTCCTTGTTACATTAGCTAACACACTGGGAAGACGGACGTTCAGTTTCACACAAGCATTGAAACAGATTTTCTTGTTACATCAAAACGTACATGTACACTAGATGGATGGATTCCACAGCACACGATAAGTAGACAGTTAAGGTAGACGGACGTTCATTTCACATTACCAGGCAAACAAGAGACTGACGGGCGTTCTTGTCACAATATTAGTACATTTTTGTAGCAGCATGTTAGACAGGCGGACTTTTATAACACAACTGCCAGTATACAATACCGACGGACATTCAGACAATATCACATTAGAGGACATGCACACTTTACAGACGCTCTAGTCACGTTCTATTGTACATCCCTGTGACATTAGCAGACATATACAGACGAACGTTCTTGTCACATTAGAAGGCACACCAGAGAAACGGACGGTCATAACACATAATCAGGCATACAAGACAGACGAACATTCTTGTGACAATATAATAAGCAGCACATAAGACATGCGTTATATCAAATGTATCGACATGCAAGAGAGACGGATTTCATATTAGCTGACACAAAAGACAGACGTTCTAACGTTAATTCCTTTGCGTAAATTTAAAGTAAATTACCTTTTGTAATGTAAATTCCTGTGACATTAGCAGACATATAATCGACATACGGACGGTCATAGCACATTAGCAGGCACACTAGAGAAACGGACGGTCATAGCACATTAGCAGGCACACTAGAGAAACGGACGGTCATAGCACATTAGCAGGCACACTAGAGAAACGGACGGTCATAGCACATTAGCAGGTACACAAGATTGACGATGAAGTAACGATAACTTTTGCAAGCATACAAGACCAAAAGACCTTCGTGCCATATTAGCGGACACAAAGGCGTTACACAGTTACGTTAGCAGAAGAACAGGGCGGGTAAATGTACAAATATACCATATTATTTAAATCTACGCGGACTTGCAGAATGGAGACTTGCAGACATACCTTTGGTACAATGTAATGTACAGACCTTTGTTACACATTCATTACCAGTACCTTAACAAGTCATGATGGAGGTCACATTTATTTTAACGGTCATTTATAAAGATAATGTTTTTTGTTTCAGAGTTAAGTATTCTGTTCTGGAATCTTTCAAAAAATACAGAATGTGTGTCTGATGCAAACAGGAATAAAACAAGTTTTAAATAAGATGAAGGATAGCATATATCTTGTCTCAAGTTCACACCTTCAAAAGCGAAATAGCACTGGGTATATTCCCAAAAACATATACACTTTTTTTACAATATGTATTGAGGAGAGGACTCTATTAAGTTGTAATAACTTGTTGTCCGATCCATTTGTATATTTGTACAATAAAATATGTTTAAACTAAACTACAAAGCGTATCGGAGAAAATCGTTCATTATCTGCGATGTACGCATGTCTGAATGCTGGTCATAGCTATAGGGCGACAAGTCTCGTTCAACCAGACTCTTGTTGTCTGCGCAAGCTACGCCGAACAGAGAATTACAAGTGATAAGCGTCTGGTTGAGCGAGACTATGACACGACCGGAAATTAAGCTTGATACGAAAGAACAAGGCCAAACAAAAACAAAGACATCATGAACTCTAATGAAAGAAAACAGTTGAATGCAAATATCCTACTTTTAAATGATACATTTAGTGCCTTGTGACAAGTACAATGCCGGCAGTTTTTAAAACAGCAAAATCATGAAGAAAATACAGTGTAAGATTATACTGTTCTCTGTATATATATATACAGTAGTTACATCCTCGTTCCCAGGGGGAAATCATAAGATACTTACGCTCATAAGACCGAGGATGATGTACATGTAGTTAGTTGGTTCTGTGAAAATCTACTCTTTTTAAAGAATACATGAGATAACTGTTTAGTAAGTGAGCTACCACATATTATTTGAGCTATCATTGAATATGCGTGCTATCCATCAATGAAATTGTCAAACCGCAAAATCTTAAACATAAACATACGTGTGCGTAGCAAATCAAACGCTTTCTGCCGGCGACAATATAAGCCTAAAAACCAACCACTAAAACGGAATGGTTTAAACTCAATTCCTTTGTGAGGGAACTAGATACTCAAATTTCTCAAAAGATAAACTCGTTGCAATAAATTATCACCAATATTTCGCGCCTCGTTTACAAAGAAGCAGTAAATTACAATTGATTACTTGGCAATATTTCATAAGGAAGCGTTTGTGTCGGTATAATGCATTTAATAAGATTAATCCTTGTGGATGGCTGACGTATTGGAGGTGTCTTTCTTCTGTCCCCAGCGACAGGGAACCCGGTAAACACAGCCTCGACCCAGCGCTACAATCATCTTACCATAAATCACAGATACAAACTTGTTTAATCATCAATAGGCTAAGCATGAGAGATTCGTGTTTCACACATTACTCATTTTTATTTGGAATAGCAAGAGAGAAAAAAATATCACCAAATATTGAAAACGTATAGATGGAAAATCGATATGTCTTTATATGGTTAATTATTTCTACATTTTTCAAAATTCCCATTTAGTGGCGGGAATGCCTCAATAAAACGGCCCGGTTACGATAATTTCACGAACAAGAAACTCTAATGTTTCCACATCAATATTTCAAAAGGAATTATTTAATCTGTGGATTTTCTCAGTTAATTTGAGATAAATGATGTAAACCAAAAATCCTCACAACATTTACGTAGACTGAAACGGGTGCTGAAACTCCGATGCGTTTTGATAAGAAAAGTCAACCAATGAGATATAAAGGAACTCGAATTGCACGGATGTTTTCTGATTATTTTTCTTATTTTTTTTTTTTTTTCACTAACATTTATTTAAAGCCTTGTGGAATTACACTGAATGTATATAATATAATATAAATAATCATAGTCCTTATGGTACAACGAGTAAAACAGACTTGAATCAAAGCGACTAGATTAAGTTAAGGCATACTATATATACATTTTGTAATGTAATAAAAGTATCTTTCAGACTGTGAGGTAATTCCACATCTAGACCAGGAAGTGAGTATAACTGTTACTGCAGCGTTATCTGCCCCCTAGAGCGTATATTAGTGAGATATTCACACATAAAATGGTGGTATGTCTTCAACTTTAGTGTAAATTTAGTGGAAGCCAATGTTTCCATTGTATCAGACAGCCAGTAAAATGGGGCTGGTCGAAGAAAGTTTTATGAAGTCCTGTAAGAATGTCAGATATATTTTGCTGCTCACAAAAACATTTTACCATGCCTAGAAAAATAACAATTTTCGGACTCGGTCTTCGTCCTCCAAACACAAGAGTGAAGGTTCAAATGAAGTTTTACAAGGTTAGGACCCCTTTATTCGGTTGTATATTCTGTATGTGCCTCTGGAGTGGATGATGCGAGCAGTTTTTATATTGCAATATAGGCAAATATTTCAATATATATATCACAATGTATCCCTAGAAATTAGTGTATTTGAAATCAATTTTGGAAGTTACCAAACCAAACAAGCTTAGTTTTGATGATGTTAAATGATTTGAAGTATTATTTCTTTGCAATTATTTTACAACTGTGCTTAAACTCCAAAAAAGTAGTTGATATAATGTATTGGCATTTCAACATACATTTTGTTAGACAGTATACACCCAGACAAATATCGTAATATATTGGTATTGCAAAGTTACACATACATCTATTACCCGCAACTAATATTTACAATTAAAAAAATCATTATTAAGGACTAAATGTAAATTAAGGTATTAATTGCAATGGTCTGAATTTGAGTAAGAATCGAAGCAACACCTATTTCGCTATATGGAGAAATCCAAGTACCGTTTTGAGACAAGAGAGAGACACATAGCACACATGTTTTCCATTATCTATGAAGTTCTGACATTCCAGGTTTTATGTAGGGAAGACAAGCATTAACTGGTATAGTCTGCTCACACTAATTAGGTCATCAGCGAGACTGTCAAGATATCAGAGGAGTGATCAGTCAGTGAGAGATCGATGATGGGTTGGTCTAGTGGTCTGTGAGAGATCGATGATGGGTTGGTCTAGTGGTCTGTGAGAGATCGATGATGGGTTGGTCTAGTGGTCTGGCCTGCTCTGTCTTCACAACGGACCAAGTGAATCCAATCCCCACCTTAGGTAATACTTACTATATTGGGACAAAGAAACTGTCGGGCTTTCACCATGACCAGATCAGAGTTCAAGGAGAAAATTTGAATAAATCAGCTCCATACCTTGATGTTGTTTTGTTAATGGTTTTACTTCCTTGCTACAGTTTAAGGTCACAGAAAAACGGGGAAAGTTGGTAGGGGAGGAAAGTAACGATAAAGGTCACACGAGTTTGCAACGGGGGCAGCAAATAAATGTGGTCTCCCTGATGTCCCCTTAGCAGAAAACCGACCCCAACCTCTTCCCTGCACCCTCATCCGACCCTGCAGAAGACCCCTTCATTTCTCGGCTCATACGATCACTTTCGTATCCTGCCCTGCTTCGATAAAGATAGCAAAATACGATTGATGGGACTTCGTTAAATGTCACAGAAATGACTTTTCCTTATCTAGATAGTCCACCTTGTCCACTTAGAATAATCAATCTTAAGACAGTTGGAGAAATATATCCTTGAAAAAAAAGGAGTACAATTTTGAAACGTTTTCTGAAGGCGGGTTCCCGCACATTTCCGGTATTTTTCAGCATTATTGGAAAACATTCTTTTCGCCATGCATTAAAATTGCAACAATATACAAACATTTTGATATAATGAAGCAATCTCATTGCGTTATATACTATAAACGTGGTTATTTATGCTCCCGAAAATTGATCAAAACATATGCGAGGGGAAATTTTCGAAGATTCGTTACATTGTATATCTTATATTTTTGCCCATGAGTATACTCCAAAGTCCAATCCAACGGATTACTATAGGCCGAAATAAAATAAGGTTGTAACTATTTTTCATTCTACAGCTCATCTTTAGAATTTTCTTTTGCTGGTGATGGTACTTTCATACTTTATTAGATACTGGGAAATAGAGTTTTTAAATAGTGAAATATATTTTGCAATATTTTTTTATTATATGTCTCATTTGCAAGATTTCATCATAACTACTTTGATACAATTAAAGTTGCAATTGTTTATCATTCCAAAAGTAACGGGACATTCGTAACTTTTTGTTACTGGATACTTATTTGATACAGTTTCTAAATAGTGAAATTAAGTTTGTATTCAGATTTTCATCTTTCAAAGGTATTGGGACCTTTGTAGTTTTTTTGATACTAGAAAATTAAGTTTTTAAATAGTGAAATATTGCAAAATATCAGGGGAACCCATTTTTAAAATCGTACTTGAATCCCTTCCATAGATAAGTATATATATATAAATTTAGCAATTTATTCTAGATACTAACAGATTTTGAGTATATTTTCCTGCACTTCTTATATTAATGTTTACTAACTAATCCGAATCTAGCTCTCTCTCATTCTCCCTCTCTCTCCTCTCTCTCTGTCTCTCTTCACCCCCCCCGTCTCTCTCTCTGTCTCTGTCTCTGTCTCTCTCTCTCTCAATTAAAGCAAATGTGAATATATATGTTATATGCCATCTTGATAATTTGTAGTAATATATTGTAGGGAAAGGGCTTAATATAAGTTGTAAAACTTGTGCCCAACTCCCATTGTATATAAATTACAATAAAATATGTTTAAATCAAAAATATATAAATGCTAAGTTTGTTTTGACCACAAACATTTACAGAGATGTAGGGGGGACAACTCCTACAAATCATCTCTCTTTTCAAACGAATGACAGCTCTAAAACAAATCACGGAATACCTGTTATTCCATTGAATTTTGCTCCTGGTTTTGCCAATATTTTGATAGTGACAGTTGAATCAGGATTGGCGACAACAGCTCTTGTGTTTTCTCCTTCTGGTGTTCCAGTATCCATTTCAGAGGAAGACGCTCCCTGTAAATAAGTGATGATGAATGACATACATGTGTAATTATAAATTAATAAACCATCTCATTTTAAAAGGTAATTGTTTAGGATTTAAAAATCTAAAAAAAAACACGCAATTTTGATAATTTTAAGGATCTATGCACGTGATACCAATACAAAATCTTTCCCTAATGAAAAATCATATCATGATCGATACAATTTACATCATTTAACGACTCCAGGTAAACCATCGTTTTTGTAACATTTTGGTGATCATCTTCTTGTCTGCATATACACTTTACTTGCACCAGAGACGTATAAACGTCTCTGCTTGCACACAGGAATAATATAAGTCACACAGAAACTGTATGGAAAATCCTGCAGGAGCCACTTATTAGCATATAACTTCTGTAATGAAATACTTTTTACCTTGCCACCTTTCTTTTGTTTCTTTGAGGGCATACTGCATGGACTGGTTGAAGAAATGTGTCTATATATAGAAACACATATAGACTCTCCTTGTTTATGTGTTGGCACTCTCTTACAGACTTTCAAAACAGATTTGATGAGAGGCACACCGTCCATTTCATGCAATGCCACGTTTCTGTAAATAATGGTTCAACTCCAAATGCGCATGATACACACATATTCTTTGAATGAATACTTTCAACTTAACAATCTTAAAGTTTCACGGTTTTCTCCATTTACAGGTAACGTGTAGCTCACACATGCTGGAGGGTTAGAGTCGTTAGACGACCGGTAGTATAAACATTAAGCGTTCCAATAACGTCGACTCTCGTAATCTATGCACTCAGGCGTTTGCAAGGCATTCATAACAATGACAGCAGTTGTTGATGGAAGCACACGTGTACGGTAAGCATGTTTCCTGGTCCTCGAGCCTGTGTTAACAGCTAATGTTGTGCCACACTTTATAATAATCATCATATACTGTGGAAGACAAATTCAGATTGTGATTTCAGCTGTCTATCCGTTAGACAATAAGTNGGGGGGGGGGGGGGGGGGGGGGGGGGGGGGGGGGGGGCGGTACAGGCTTGTAGCTGCATATACGTTGATACGCAAGTGGATCCACCAAATTTTTGCTGTAACCCCTTGTCCCCCTACCAATACCCTGTCCTGGATCCGCTCTTAAATCAACTCATTCCGAACAAATGCTAGGCCAGCTACTGTACATTCAAGTCCCTGTTGGTTCACAGGTTTTAGCCTCATCTGTTAACACCTGTACATTCATACATTGTAATATGAACCATTATCTTATGGTTGTATAATATGTCAATTTTTACTCTTGTGCTATATTAGCATGTATGTACATTACACTTGAAGTGTTTTAACCCTCCTATCATATAACAACACCTGTGTGATATGCAGGTGTTTCACTATTATCACTTTACATCATTTTAAGATAGTACTTTAAATTTAGTGCCTGTGCTATCTATGTATATGCTGCTATATTATTGTATGTTTTACTCGCTGATTATGTGCTAGCTTTCTGTGATAGTGTATAGCTTGTTTTGTTGTTTTCTGTTTGCTTTTTATCATGTTTGTCGCAAAAATAGCGCTAATGTTTCTATGTTTGATATATGCGACGTTAAATAAAGTTTCTTGTATCTTGTTTTGTAAACTAACTCTCCCTGCACCTGTTTTCTCAGAGCAGGTACTAGAGTACCAGCAGATCACAGGGGTTTGTTACAATGTGTCTGAAATAACTCATAGATGTATGCTATACTGGTATGGGTCACAGCACACCTAAATATACAGTGTAAGTGATAAGTACATATAGTATTTGTGTATTTAAGACATTTGTAACATATATACCCCTTTGGGCAAAACATGCAATGTGAGCAGATTTGGCTATAACTATCACTATAATAGAAAGAGGTGATAAATACATTTCAGATGTAACATTTTCTTTGTACATGTACTTTTTTCCATTACAGTGTGAGTTCTGTACTGAATCGAGATACCAAACAGTTTGGTAAGAAATATCTTTTTGATGGAGAGGAAGACACGTGTTGGAATTCAGACCAGGTAATTTCTACCAGTAGCCAGTACATATACTTAACTGTAACAGCAAAATGGCATTCAAATTTCAGCTTAACAGAAATAGGATTCCTCCTCTTTTAATTCATGTATTTCCTCTTCCCATTTTTTGCATGATTTTGTGTAAGTTCTTTATATTGTTCGAACACAATTCCAGGACTCCATCTTACATTTAGATGGCATGGCAAACTCTGCCATTAATTCCCTTATCACCATGTAAAATGGTAATGAAAATCTGGTGGTTTAATTTATTATATTACAAACTATTTGATAACCTTATTTTTCTCCAATTTTTAAAAGCATATTGTTTGCCTTAATTTAAATTCTTTCTAAAAGTGAATAAATTTTGGAAGAAAAGAAAACTGCTATTGATATTCTTTAGTGTTCATTGAACATGTATATGTCTTATTTTGATTGACAAATTGACTCATTATTGTAGGGTTCACCACAATGGATTCATATAAACTTGGACTCGGACTGCAATGTGGAGGAGGTACAGATCAAGTTCCAGGGAGGATTTGCTGGTAAAGACTGCTGTTTGGAGGCCCATAACGGGGAAGAAATACAGAAAATCATGGATTTCTACCCAGAGGATATCAACTCTTTACAAATATCCTTTCAAAATTCAATTCAACTTTAGAATTTTTTTAGATAACAGTTTCTGTGAAAGATCAATTACCTGTGGTAATATTCACATGTATAAACTGTATGTTAGAAAATTTTGACTGGTAAAATATTTACGCATCAGTTGTAAAATCCACATTCACCCCTTGTTAATTTCGCTTTTCACAATAGAATCCCTGAGTATACCATATTTGATGACAAATAAGCTTCCACCCCTAATGAAAGAAAGATTGATCAAAAGTAGAGAGGGGGATTAGTTGCAGGCACACACCCTGTTCCTAGGACAACTGCCAAGGTGAGGAGGGTCTTATTTGCAGTCAATTACAGTATTAAACTGTTTTTAAACTTTATTTATGCTCTTGAGATCATGGGGACTTTGCCTTCATGATAAAGAATTGAAATAATGAAAGTAAAGTGAAGTAAATTTGTCTTGGTGAAGTGGGGGTACATACCCTGTTAAACATGCTGCTTTATATAGAAATTTTTGGACAAGGCTAACCTAACTTTGGTTATCTTGGATATCATTTCCTCAATATGAGTTGCCCTTCTTTGTTTGTTAAGAAAGGTAAGTACTGAGGTTGAATAACAGAGAAAAATAATATTTATCTGATATCATTCTTGTTTAGAAACATAGGACTCATAAATATCCATAGATCTATGTATAGTTATTGTTTTAGTAACAGTACCTCTGATGATTCTAGAACAAGTTTTGGTTTCCAAGTTCCAGATGTCGGGGAAAATCTTGTTATGGCTTTAAAGTCCGTCATATAATTAAATGTATATTTTCTTACTATACATGTTGTCCATGTACTTAATTAGTATCGTGTCATGTACAAACAGATTTTTTCATCAATTTTATCTTGGCAATACACCTGCCTTTAAATGTCATGGGTACAATGTTTGCCTCTGTAATGGGAGGGGGATGACTGGAGCCCTTATCTCCCTCTTTTATGTCCAAAATTGTAAAACTACGTTAGATTTTTCTAAGGTGTGGTCTCATCATTGAACATTTGTCCATTTTAATTCCAGTTAAACTTAATTCCGCTATTTTTTTAATTTTATTTTTATCTTTCCTTGACCTGTTTACATATTCAAACTTCCACAGCCTTTGAAGATGTCCAGTTTCAGGATTGTGTTCACCAATAGTACAGACTTTTTTGGAAGAATAACAATATATCAACTTATGATACTAGGATCAAAGAGTTGACAGAAGACTGAATAGGTATCATCATCATCATCATCATCATCATCATTATGTAATGGGAAGGAATTAGTAAGAAGAATATGCCAATTCTCTGGGGAACGAACCCCCAGACTCCAGACATTCTAGTAAGATGCTCTATCATTGATCTAAGGAAAAGTTCCCTCTAGCCAAAGCTAGTAATTTATGCTGGTAAGATGACTTTCACACTAGACAATGAATATACTCTTCACTGTCAAAGACTACTGCAACTCAGATTCATTTACTCCACTTCCTGGAATTGGAAGGGTCAACAGCACCAATTTGTAATAGAAAGAAAGAAGAGAAAATAATACATGCATTCCCTGAAGATCAAAATCACGACAGCAGACAAATTAAGGGAAATTTCCTTAGCTGAAGCTGGCAAGGAGACTTTGACACTATGTACAGCACACCATTATTTATAATTACACTGATTTACAGATCTAGATATTCTGTGGAATTTTTTTGCCAGGAATCTACAAATTGCTTTTCACACAAGCATTCTTAGATTCATTTTAAATACAGAGTTTTACTTTTGTAATCAGAATAATATTACTTCCTTGCAAAGAATTGATTAAAAGAAGATCACCAATCCCAGTTCAACATTTCTGCATTTGTGAGAAAGAGGTTCCAGTGTCATGAAATTCAATCTACTAGGCTGGATAATGGATCCAAACACTTTGTTATGCCTGTAAACAAAATGTGAACAATATATACCCAGATAAATAAGGAAGCACATATCCTTACCCAGCTTTATATGCCAGTGATTTAGATTGGGTACAGCTGGTCATAGGTCATGAGTTTAAATACCTACTGTAAAATGGAAAGTTTTTGTCCTCTTTTATTTCGTTCCTATTGTCCCATTGAAAGGAAATTTAACTCCACATTGGGTAGAAATATTTCATGTTTGGTAAGTAGAACTGATAGGTATATGTGTAAATGAATTCAACACTAGGAAAACCAATATAAAAGCTTGGTTCAAGTTTCACAAAACAGCGTTAGCTTAAGGATTCCTATCCCACTGCACTGTGCTTTTTGTATAGTAACCTCTATTAATTTCATTTAAGATAAATTTGCCAAGACTCTTCCAATGACTAGGTACGTGTATGTCAGTCGGTTAGAGCGCAAGTACAACCATCTAAGTTCAGGGTTTGAATCTTTATATTTCGTTTATTTCATTTTTCTTTCTTTTTTCCCATAAAAGTCCAATTAGATGCAATATTCTTTTCAGAATTGATTGATCAAAGCTACATGTTTATCAATGCCAGAGAAACGGTTTCCAATGTGTAGTGAAGCTACAGTTTTTGGCAGCGGTAGGGTCCCTTAAGGAAATTTCTTACCTAAGATTTGCTTAGAGAATTTTAAATGAAAATGTTACATGTCTAAATATGACAAAAATAAGTAAAAGAGAACTTGTTGAAAGAAAAGTGCAAATATTCTGGAGAATGCATTTAAGTTATGCAATCTGTCAATAAAGAAAAAATTAGTATGGGGTACTTGACAACATTGTCAGGAACAAAATACCGTTTCATTGAAAAACATTTGTGTAAACCAATAATATCTATTTATTATGACAAATTGTGAAAAAGCTGGTAAGATCATTTGTGTTTATGATATAAATATGTATTCTATACATAGCTCATAAACAAACAAAATTAAAACAAGAACACTATTCTGCCATTGGTGGTTTGCATTTGTCATTCCTTAAAAGACAAGACTACTTCTCGAAATCACCTGAGAGGATATTAAATGAAATTGGTATGATCAGTCTAAGGACCAACAAGATTCAATTTTACGTAAATGAAAGTGGCAGATGTCAGAGCTCCAAAGGGAAAAACAATTGAGTTGATTTTGTATACGACATTCATGGAGCAGTGTGATTTACTGTTGTTTAAATGAAAGAAGATGGATGAGTCCAGATGGAGAAATAGGGATGCATCAATTAATGTGTCATGTTTAGTTGATATATATTATATAACATCCCTGAGGAAAGGGAGTTAATTTATTATATAACATTCCTGAGGAAAGGGAGGTTATTTTACTATATCATATTCCTGGGGAAAGGAAATTAAGTTATAATGAAAAGTACCTGAGGAAAGGGAGTTAATTTATTATATAACATCCCTGAGAAAAGGGAGTCTGTTCTGGTTATATGTCAGTTGGTGTAGTTCCATTTGTATTGGTAGTTTTTTTTTGGAAGTATATTTCAAAGTGTTGATTTAAAAATGCACGTCTTCCAACTATGTGATACTATGTCTATATTCAATTGAACGAAAACAATGAAAATATAAACATTTTATTTTTGAAACCAGAATACCAAACCGTAACGATGGAGATATATACAGCATTGCTGTATCAATCTCTGTTGATACCTAAAGATATAGTAACCACTGTATCAATCTCTGTTGATACCTACAGATATAGTAACCACTTTATCAATCTCTGTTGATCCCTAAAGATATAGTAACCACTGCATCAATCTCTGTTGATACCTAAAGATATTGTAACCACTGTATCAATCTATGTTGATACCTAAAGTTATAGTAACCACTGTATCAATATCTGTTGATACATAAATATATAGTAACCACTTTATCAATCTCTGTTGATACATAAATATATAGTAACCACTGTATCAATATCTGTTGATACATAAATATATAGTAACCACTGGATCAATCTATGTTGATACCTAAATAAATATAAAATAACCACTGGATCAATCTCTGTTGATACCTAAATAAATATAAAATAACCATTGCATCAATCTCTGTTGATACCTAAAGATAGAGTAACCACTGTATCAATCTATGTTGATACCTAAATAAATATAGAATAACCATTGTATCAATCTCTGTTGATACCTAAATATATGGTAACCACTGTATCAATCTATGTTAATACCTAAATAAATATAAAAAAACCATCGTATCAATCTCTGTTAATACCTAAATATATAGTAACCACTGGATCAATCTCTGTTGATACCTAATTATATAGTAACCACTGTATCAATCTATGTTGATACCTAAATAAATATAAAATAACCACTGGATCAATCTCTGTTGATACCTAAATATATAGTATCCACTTTATCAATCTCTGTTGATCCCTAAAGATATAGTATCCATTGTATCAATCTCTGTTGATGCCTAAAGATATAGTAACCATTGTAGCAATCTCTGTTGATACATACAGATATAGTAACCTCTGTATCAATCTCTGTTGATACATAAATATATAGTAACCACTGGATCAATCTCTGTTGATACCTAAATATATGGTAACCACTGTATCAATCTATGTTAATACCTAAATAAATATAAAAAAACCATCGTATCAATCTCTGTTGATACCTGAAGATATAGTAACCATTGTAGCAATCTCTGTTGATACATACATATATAGTAACCACTGTATCAATCTCTGTTGATACCTAAATAAATATAAAATAACCACTGTATCAATCTCTGTTGATACCTTAAGATATAGTAACCACTGTATCAAACTCTTTTGATTTATAACGTTATAGTAATCACTGTATCTCTCCCTGTTGATTTATCATTTTATAAAGATACAGTAACCACGTGCACTGTATCACTCCCTTTTGATATATAATGATATAGTTATAGCTGTATCACTCTCTGTTGATTAATACAGATATAATAATCACTGTATCAATCTCTGTTGATAAATAATGATTTAATAATCACTGTATCACTCTCTGTTGATATATTTAAAGTTTGACCTTTATTTTGCCTGCGTATACGATAGTATGAACGCAGTTGGCAACGGAACATATTCTAGCGCACCATATAATATGTTCCGTTGTCAACTGCGTTCACACTACCGTATACGCCGTCAAAATGAAGGTCAATCCTTATATTTACATCATAAATAATGTTCAAATGGTAAACAAAGAAAATAACAGCTGAAGCGGGTTACTACGATGGTAACTACGGTAGCCGTTTTTGCTAAGATAATATAGTTTCGGTGAATCTACATCGATATATGGGTAAATTTAGAAAATACGCAGTGCACAACACTATTTTACTTCTTTTGATCGCTTTTAAGTTTTTAATGAAGTACTACTCTTAGCACTTGGAACATTTGTATTCATTTATGACGGTCGTTATGTACACGCATTGACACACTTCTTTGGTAGTGACGCGGTCGAACGTCGTAAAAGGAAGCCTCCATTGTTTACTTTATCGTCAATTTTTTTTGAATCTGCATCCATGTCATAAGACGTTGGCCAGCATCTCATTGTGTATAATCAGACATAATGGATCCCGAATATGTTTCATGTGTTTAGATATTGAAGACCAAACAATAGCTGTCATCGAACACTTATCTAGCTGAAGCGAGAACGGCGCCACATTTGAAACAGGTATCAATCCGTCTAGCCTTTTTTCATTGCGTATGCATTTATTTATGCACAGCCAGAGTTTACTAAGCTGAAGAAGGGAGAGATGTAAATATTATGACATCACAATTGGTGTTTGTACCATTGTTAGCAAATATTCGTGTATCATCTCCTAACCAATTGGAGACGATAACACTTCAAGAAAAACCAAGTTTGGCAAAACTGTTCATCATGCGTCTAGTTAATGAGGGAATGATGTTTGAGTTTTAGCAACAGTGTGTTGACTCGCTACAATATAGTGCAGCAGCATCCAGCATCTGCCTCCTCCCTTTCATGCATTGCCACGATTTCTTGTGCCAATGCCATTTTCAGTTCGAGCCTTCTCTTCAGTACCAATATTGGTATCAGATAGTATTCCATCAGCCATTCCATTTTATAACACATTATTCTTTTGACACGTGTTTGCATTCCGCCAATAAGAATGTCGTTTGACACGATCAGCTGTTGATCAATTGAGGACAATTCGAAAAACTTGTTCCTGGAATCACCACACATATCCTCACTGTGAAATATACATTTATCCGCCAAAAGGTCTGGTGAAATGAGAATGCAGACGACGGTCAGCTGATCTACTTCTGGTTCCGTTAGAACGTAATATCTCTCGAAATCTGTCAGTCTCTTCATATCCTCGTCTCGGTCATCGAGACTGATGAGGTCACAAATACATTTCAAGTAGAACATCAGTTTTGCTTTGACGTCTTCCGGGACGCTCACGGAGCATCCCACATCACGAACGCCCATTTCGCGCCTTGTCATCACGGCAGCCATCTTTGATTTCTTCTGATGTCTTTGAAATCGGTCGTTTCGTTTTCGTAATGTCAGTAACTTGTGTCCTTATTGAATGACACCAATTCGGGTTTGAACCCTATATATTGATGATTAAAACTTTGTTTGCTGATCAGCATTACCACAAAGAATTCCAGTTGATACTGCCCACTTAATGTGCAAAATCCTGTATGTAAAGCTCGACGAAATAATATATACCTCTATATCAGGTACGTGTATTGTTGATTATGTTCCTTCTATCTGCATATTTTTAAATCCATTTACTTCCTGCTATAGGCAAATATGGGTAACAGGTGGATACACGTTGCACCCGTCCATTACAGAGACTCAATACTACACAAAATTTTAGAGTAGCATTATACTCCCCTACAGTGTATCCGATGCGTTGTGATTTCATATTAAATAACCCACTACTTGTTAAATGTAAAAAGTTTGTGACGTCGTTATATTAAGTTATTACAATGTTCGTGTGTGTTTTTTAAATCACAAATATAATTGGTTACATAAATATATTTAGTATTTACAGCTCCTAGTATATACACAATGAACGTCTGTGTTTTTATCACACACAAGTGTACCGCAGGTGACAGGTGAACACTGTGTTTGATATATAGATGTATTTAGGACCACGTGGTGTGTTAAAGTCCAGTGATAGCCCATTGATTATTGCTTACCGATATCATGTACACATCGGTCTTTAACATGGTATGTGGTGTTTACAAACTGGAGGCCAATTTTTATGTCGTCTTACTATTAATTGTTTAGAAAATCTTGATGAATACCACGTGGTTTGCAAGTCAATCAACAAGTTGGGTAGATGTTCTGTTAAATTAGTAGCTTGTTAAACATCAATCACACCATGCACATAACCATATAAGCGTTAAGTGTGTAAAAAGTCATCAGTCTTGATGATACTATGGGTTAATTTCTCTGATGTCACTCGGTTGATGACATATTTTGATGCAATGTTATTGGAAGAATGCTGCCAGAGAGGGTTACCCAAGACGTCTACAGAAAGAATGACTATTCAAAATGTGTTGATAGCTACCCAAAGGTCTGAGTATTATGTCACTAATCATTGATCAATATGATGAAATCAACACTAAAATATCTTATTACAAATAGTCCGACTTTCCTTGATTCCAATTGGCTAATCCTTTATCTCAAGTTCGCTGATATATGACATATCGACCCAAGGTTTCTATTTTGGCGTGCACGTGACCATATCAGATCACTATCAGGTCCATATGAGGGGGTTCTTATTGAAATGTATTTCCAATTGATATTTAAAGTATTCGCTTGGAAAGTATATTTTAGGATAATTAAATACTACCAACTGATTGTGATAAAAAAAAAATCAAAAATAATCGCAATGGCGTAATGTCTTTTTAAATCACAGATTGCTATGACTGAAGAGTGTTGTCGATCAATTTACGTCATGTAAAATATACAATTCTTGTTTTTCTAATCTTTGATCCTTTTACTTCAGCTAATTGAAATTGGAAGGTGTGCCTCTTAAGTCTTATATCCCTCTTTTCATGTCGATTTTTGTTGTAGGATTACACTAGATATTTTTAATGTGTGGATGATTCGTTCACGAGTAAGCTCCCTGCTTTAAAGAAATCAGGATTTGTTCAGCAGTGATACAAATTCTTTTGTACAAATAACAATATACTAACTTATGAGAAAAGGATCAAAGAGTTAATGGAAGGTTTGAGCAATCCTACATGTGAACTGAATATGTTTCATCCTTATGTAATGGAAACGAAGTAGCGTAAAGGATATTTGTTCGCTGGGGAATTCCAGACTCCCAGACTTTCTAGTCGGATGCTCTACCGCTGAGATAAAGGAAACTTTCCTCGAGCCGAAGCTAATGATTTGGACTTGTGAGATGACTTTCACACTAAACATTGTACAAGGCACATCCTTATATAGCACTCTCCATTTTATCTAGTCTTCACCCTCAAAGACTACTGAAAGCCAGGTTAATTTACTTCACACCAAAGGGCTTTGCACTATCTGGAGTTAGATAGGTCAACGGCATCAATTTTGTTATAGAAAAGTTGCAGTGGAAATAATATGTACGTTCGCTGGGGAGTAAAACTGCGACCCCAGACTTTCTGGTTGAACGCTCTACCGCTGAAATAAAGGGAAGTTCTCTCAGCTGAAGCTTGTAAAGAGACTTTGAAGCTATGCACAATGTGCATCTTTTACAACTACTATTCTCTAGTATGTTTGTTTTGCCAGGAATCTACGAGCCTCATCTAACAGAAGGGTTGATTTTGTTTTTAATTGAGCAGGTTTCACTAGGGTATTCAAAATACTGTCACAAAATTTACAATAAAGGAATTGGAGAAAGAGAAATGATCACAATTTCTGCATTAGTGAGGACAAGGTCGTGGTTTAATGTTTTTGATATACAAGCCAGTAAAATGGCCCAAAATATACATTATGTAAGGTAATTATGTGAACAAAACTGTACATAGATAATTAAATTAATACTACAATATAACTTGCTGGAAAATGTGCGGAGAGCTTGGAATCTGTCAAAAAATCAAAAAGGAAAATGGTTAAAAAAAAATTGTCATGAATACTACACTGTTTAATGCATGTACGATCAACGTATTGCTACGCATTTATGACCTCGTATAAAATTAATACATATTTTGTGTGACAAAATGCGAGACCATTTGTATTGATGATTTGTATTGATGATTTATATTGATATACTTCACGTAATTCATATAAAACAGATCTTTTCAAAAGTTAAAATATTTGTCAGCCAATGATGTTTAGCAATTGCTATATTTTCCCTCAAAGTTAAGACTACTTTTCAAAATTGCCTAAATGGATATTAAATGAAATTTCTATCCATAATTGGTTCAACGGCATTCAATTTTAAATAAATAAAAATAACAAGGGTCGGAACTCCAACAAGGAAATGTTTTTGACTTGATTAAAGTATAGCTGTACGATTTTATTTGATATAAATGAACATAGATGAGCGAGTCAAATTGCAGTAATAAGGATACCTCATAAAAAAGACTTCTCGTCAAGTAAAGGTTAACGTGATGATTTTATTTACTGTCATATCATCCCTGAAGAAAGGCAGTCTGTTTTATTTATTTGTTAGTCGGTTTACAGCCAATAATGCTTCTATCAATTGACATGGACTAGGTTGCATTTACCAAATTAAAAAATGCTTAAGTAATCTGGCTCATAGCAGTTCCATACATGGATATCTCGGCGTTTTTCCTTGAGTTGATTTTAAAATGCACATGTATTCCAACTACGTGATATAACGTCTAAATGTTAACATTATTTTGCTGAACACTTGAAACTAATAATAACGATAAATCTTTATATACATTTGTATACAACTTTGCTGTATCATTCTCTGTTGATATATAGCGACAAATCACCGTGTTGTCATGACGTCTCCCAACAAGGATTATTCAAAATGATATATTAATCACTGTAACATTATGATAATTGATGTAACATTTTTCAAGAAAAACAAATATTGGCGAAACTTCATAATGCGAATAATTTGTTAGGGAATGCCACTTGAATATGAGCACTGTGTGTTTTCTTCTTACAATATAATGCAGCAGCAGTCAGCATTTGCCACCTCCCTATTGTGCATTGCAATGATTTTCATAATCTTATCGTGTCTTCTCTTCATTACCAACATCGGTGCCAGATAGTACTCCATCAGCCATTCCATTTTGTAACACATGATTCGTTTGACACGTGTTTGCGTTCCACCAAGCATGATGTCGTCTGACACGATCAGCTGTCGATCAACCGAGGACAATTCAATAAACTTGTTAATGGAATCGCCACAAATATCTTCGTTGTGAAACAAACACTTGTCCGCCAAAACCTCCGGTGAATAGTTCATGCAGAAGATGATAAGTTTATCTATTTCTAGCTCCGTTAGAAGGTAATATCTCTCGAAATCAGTCAGTCTTTTGAAAATCTCGTCCATATCATACAGGTTGATGAGGTCGCAAATACATTTCGTATAAAACATCAGCTTTGCTATCGCGTTATTCGGCACGCGCACGGCGGATCCCACATCACAAACGCCAACTTCATGTCTTGTCATGACGGCAGCCATCCTCGATTTCTTCTTAAAATCAATGAAATCTGTCGTTTTGTTTTCTTAATGCCAGTTACTTATTTCCTCAATAAATGACGCTTTTTTTTGTTCGACTGAAGTGTCTTGTACAAATGAACCTTTATATTGTTAATTAAATGCTAGTTTGAATATTTGCATTACAACAAACATCAAAGAACCCTAGGAGCCCACTTATTCATATAAAACGATCCAGTGAGTAATACTCGACACAATACTATGTACCTTTGTCTCAGGTATAGATAAGGCGAATGTTCCTTACTTCCTGGTATGGGTAGATATGAGTAACAAATCGATATAGGTTGCACCCAATTTGTGATAGACATGGCCGCACAATTAAAAAATAACAATATATTGCCCTATCAAATGCATTTTCATATCATTAAATAAATAAATTCTTTATCCTAGCTAAAAAACATCGTTTGACATCGTCAGAAGTTAAAACAAAGTTCGTTTATTTATCACAGTTGTAAATGGTTACGTGATTTATTACTATGTGTACATTGCGAGCGCTCTTCGGTTTTTAATTTCCAGATTGTATAAAGCACCATATATTTACACAATGAATGTCTGTGATGTTATCAACAAATTTATCGCAGGTGAGAGGTGAACACTACGAGGTTTTTTCGATATATTTTCAACCATGTAGCCTAGTGATAGTCTACTGATTATTGCTTTCTGATACCCAACACTATTTAACACTGTAGATTAATGCTTACACATCGTTTGTATTGCTTCTTGCTGTGAAATCTTTAAGAAAATCTTAATATTTCACAAGTAGTATGATAAGTGCATTATGCATACAACGATTGTTTGAAGTCAACTGACAAGTTGAGTTGATGATCAATTATGTTTAGATTCTTAATAAATCATGCCATACACATGCATAACACCTACGTTAACTGTGTAATGTGTTACCTTTTGTACGCAATTGCCTACATACATCGATGGAATGCTACCAGAGTGGATTTATCCAAGGTATTTACAATATAATGTCTATTAAAAAAAAAGGATATTCGTCGTCCACAGTTCCGGATACTCGTGTCACCAATTATAAAAGAATGACAAATGTTTATAACTCCCATCTCAATGTTGAATGTTGGTGACGTCCACGTCAGTTCCGGAAGAACTAAGTTTGGTGAAGCCTCTGTCATTGCTGAAATTTGGTGATATCACTTTCAATGACGTATATTTGTGAGCGAAGTCCGTCGTGAAGGCCCTCCTTGGAACCTCGTGTTTGTAATGGGATTGCTATCGTCCATCAATATACTAGGCTGGTTGAAGCGAGGTGGGCGATTTGCTCCTCGTTCACTTGCCATTGAAGAGATTGCATCCCAATCAAAATCTTCTTGGCGTTTTTTTCGTCGTTTTGTTGGTAGATCAACGGAAAATATGTCCGTTTCATTCTCAAAAAGCGTATTCAAGCTCCTGCTCTTACGCATAGTTGTTTTAGGAATAATTTCTTCTGTTTGCATGTCTTTTGGTTTTCCTTCCAATAAGTCCCATGCAGGCTCGTTTTTACGAGGCTCTCTTGCCTTAATGAAGTGTTGTTTCGCCATCATGGCAGAGACACTTGCTGCAAACTTAGATGTAGGTTCTCTTTTATCTTGTCCGACCCCTTTGTTCGAGTTACCTCCCGTTACATCCCAATCTGCCTTCATGTTGGGCATCGTAAATTCCTTCGCTACTGCCAAAGAAGCAACTGCCTTCCAGTTTTTACGACCTCTTGCTTTCATGCCAACTCCTTGGGGAGGGATTCCATCGCTCTTTACCGGGATTGTGGGCGGTTTGGTTTGATTTGCCGCTGTTAGACTACTATTCTGGCCCGTGTTTATTCCATTTGTTTGATTGACTGCTGTCGATGCAGCCATTGCAGTCACCGCATTATCACCAACAGAATAGTAAGAATGATCATTTCTGATTGGTTGATTGTATCCAGATTGGTTTTGATTTGAATTTGAGATAGGTTTCCGGTCGGTGTGCTGCGAATCAAGCATAGATAGTGCAGTCGTTTGCATACCATTATTTTCGGAGCCACTTAAATGATGGTTATTTGATTGATTGTCGTCAATATTTATAGGGTTATACCCATTAGTGCTGGATATCGCTCCTCCGTTCGGCACAGTGTTATGTAGAGATTCATTTGGGTTATTTGAATTGTGCCGTTCGGGCTCAGCAGGTCCATCAGTTATATTATTGTTGCTGGTGTTTCGATCTTTGTATAACGACACGGGTACAGCGGCCGTTAGAGCACCAGCTGTCCATGTAGTCTGATGGTTCAATGATTGGCCACCATTTCTAGTTGTCTGGTTCGTTATTGATGTTATTGAACTCGCGCTACTTTTGGGGAAAAGGCTTCCTGACAACAAAGTCATCACCGCTTTTGTTTTTTCTTTCTTCTTTTCCTTTCGTTCTGTCTTCCTTTCCTCTTGTGTTTTCTTCGTTTCCGAAGGAACATCACTAGTCGCATCGTCAGAACGCCGATTATTAGCATTTGACCGTTGGTCTTCATTTTTTGTAATTTCATTTGCAGATCTATTTACACCTGTCACTTTACTTGTTTCAACTGCAGTATTGCTTGATGCAAACAAGGCAGACACTGCCGCATTCCTTTTCTCTGCTGTATTCTTGGTCAAAAGAACAGGTTCTGGAGTTTTTGCTTTTGTACTGTTGCTCGAACCATCATAATTTTTGCCAATGTTGCTTTGGTTTAGATAACTCTGGCCCCGGTTAACATCTTCAGCAAAAGTAACATTGGGTTTAGTTGCGCCGTATTTTGCGTCCATATACGACTCCACGGGTTTGGTTTTCGTCAGTGGATTTTTCTCTGTGACATTTTGGTTTGTTCGCGTTCCTTGATTTTGGATTGTTTGTGTTCCAGATACGGCGCCTGATTGAGCATAAGTATTAGTTCTGTTTTCATTGAATATTCGGTTATTTGTCGTAGACGAGTCAAGTGCATTGTTTATCTTTTCATCATTACGCACATTGTTATATTCTTCCGGCGTCGCTTCTAATGCAGATGCAACCAGTATCGGTGGCTTTGTTGTTTTCTTGTCAGCAACGTCGATGTTCTCATTTGGCATGTTTATTGTGTCTGTTTTGTTTTGATTTGCTGTACTTTCTTTTACTTTTCTCTTTTTAGATATTTTACTCGCTTTTTTGGTATTTTGTTTACAGTTTTTTTCAGAACGTTTGATAACAAAGCAGCAGATTCTTTTCTTTTTCATATAATTTGGAATATTCTTGGGTTTTGCTTTGCGTTTCGATCTGTACACTCTAGCTTTTCCTGATTTAGAAGCATGCACCCCTGTCACCGATGCGGCGGCTCCTCCGGCCGCAATCACCGTGTAATCATCTGCTGCATCTTCATCATCATCACTGTCATAGAGGTCATCGTCGTCAGAATCGTAATTGCTTTCTTCTTCGCCCATTTGTTTCTTTTTGCAACACGCTGCACATCCAATACACTTTATCCTGCACAGAAAACAAGCTTTGCACTTTTTGTTGTCTTTTGATTTCTTCGATGTACTCCGTTTCCCCGATCGCGGGCGGGGTGTTTTTGCAGTTTTTCGGCCGCCTTTCCCTTCCGTTCTCGCAGCAGTATTGGTTCCAATAATTGCTGTTGCTCCTTTATTTTCTGGGCTTTCGAGTGAATCAGAGTCATAGTTTTCCTCCTCACTATACTCATCATCACAATCGTCGAAATACTCGTCGTCACTTTCATAACCAAAGCAACAGCACACCATTTGATTGCTACGTGTGTCTTTTGCAGTGGGTATTTCATTATTTTTTTTCTGCCTTTCGTCTATGAAGTTTTTGTTACTTTTAGGACGGCCTATTACGGATTTTCCCCTCTTTTGATTACCGGCAGTCGTTGGCATTATTCCGTTTTTATTGTTTAAATTATTTGGAGATCTTCTGATTTCATCATCGTCATCATCATAATCCCATTCCTCCTCATAATCTGAATCTTCGATATCATCGCTGTCCGATTGAATTATACAACCTGCACAACATGCATTTCCTTTGTTTCTCTTTTCTTCTTTATTCTTTTCTTTCATTTCTTTATCTTTTGATTCTTTTTTTTTCTTTTCTTTGTTCTTCTTTGCTTTCACTTCTTTACTTTCGGGTTCTTTAGCATTTGTTGGATCTGGTTGTGTGTTCGGTTCTTCATTTGATGTTTCCCTATTGTTATCGTTTGATATATTTTTGTCAATATTTTTGTCACAACTATTTGGAGATCTTCTGATTCCATCATCGTCATCATCATAATCCCATTCCTCCTCATAATCTGAATCTTCGATATCATCGCTGTCCGATGGAATTATACAACCTGCACAACATGCTTTTCCTTTGTTTCTCTTATCTTTTTTATTCTTTTCTTTCATTTCTTTATCTTTTGGTGCTTTGGTTTTTTTTTCTTTGTTCTTTTTTGCTTTCACTTCTTTACTTTCGGGTTCTTTAGCATTTGTTGGACCTTGTTGTGTTTTCGGTTTTTCTTTTGATGTTTCCCTATTTTTATCGTTTGATATATTTTTGTCAATATTTTTGTCACAACTATTTGGAGATCTTTTGATTCCTTCATCGTCATCATCATAATCCCATTCCTCCTCATAATCTGAATCTTCGATATCATCGCTGTCCGATGGAATTATACAACCTGCACAACATGCATTTCCTTTGTTTCTCTTATCTTTTTTATTCTTTTCTTTCATTTCTTTATCTTTTGGTTCTTTGGGGTTTTTTTCTTTGTTCTTCTTTGCTTTCACTTCTTTACTTTCGGGTTCTTTAGCATTTGTTGGACCTTGTTGTGTTTTCGGTTTTTCTTTTGATGTTTCCCTATTTTTATCGTTTGATATATTTTTGTCAATATTTTTGTCACCACTAGACGTGTGTTGAGATACAGCTGCAACTGCATGGCCTTTTTTCGCAGATGTGCCCCTTTCTTTTGGATTTTCATCGTCCTCGCTTTCTTCATCATCGGAGTCGTAATAGTATGCATCATCCAATGAGTCGCAACAACAGCAACAATAGGTGCAGAACAAAGCACATCCTTTTTTCTCGTCTTCGTTGTTATCAATGGTTTTAGGAGAGTGGCGTCTAGCGCATGTAGATCTCCCAGCAACTGAGGTGTTTCTGTCGTCACCAGCTTGTCTAGTTTTACTTCTGGTCGGTCCGCGTTCATCTTCAATGTGATGTCTATCATTATTACGTGAAGGGAATACACTTACACCACCTTTAGTGGGATTTCTTGGTACGGCATGTGATTCGAGCCTAGGTCGCTGATGTCTTGGATTGTCGTTGGCGTTCTGAAAACATAAGAAGTGTTTTCAAAATTGTATCTCCGAAAAACTTTTCCCCAAAATAAGAAAAAATGGCATGGATTAAGCTTTTTGTATTTTCTCCGAAATAGAATGCACAATAATTGTTTCTAAATATATATTTTGCTATGAATATTTAACGTTGACATTTGATATATTTGAACAGAAGAAGCTCATATCTACCTGTTTGGAATAATAGATGTTGTCATCGAATTCATCATACTCGTCGTCATCGTCATACTCATCATACTGTTGTTGTTGACGACGTTTTCGTTTTCTACGTCGTCGCTGTCGAGCTTCGTTCTTCTTTTCGTAGCACAAGTAACACTGCTTACACATCCAACATGAGCAGAAACCTACCAAGATGCCGACAACACCTATCCCAGCTATTATTGCAATGACGAAATACAGGGGAACGGATCCGAACATGGCTCATCTGAAATGTATTATTACGTTCAGCTTTAAGGTTGACTAAAGGTTTAACCGTATGTAGCTCTAGACTATATTCATCATTGCCATCAGTATATATATAATATATATCATAATTATTATTTTAGGATGCTGTATATAAAATTGAACATGGAACGTTTCCATCAGTAAACTGTGAAGAGGATATTAGAATATTAACCATCTCCATCAGAAAACTGGATACAGGATATAGAATATTGATCATGCTCATCAGTATAGTGTATACAGGATATTAGAATATTGACCATTTTCATCAGTTAAGTATACATGATATAGAATATTGGATATGTCCAGCAGTAAATTGTATACAGGAAATAGAATATTGACCCTTTCCATAAGTGTACTAGTACTGTATACATGATATAGAATATTGAACATTTCAATCAGTGCATTGTATACAGGATATTAGAATATTGATCATTTCCATCAGTATACTGTACACGGGATATAGAATATTGACAGGTTCAACATTATACTGTATATAGGATATAAAATATTCATAATTTCCAATAGCACATTACTTACGGGATATAGAATAGTAATTCGTATCCTACGGACATACCTCCATTAGGATCCAGTGTTATATGGGATTTTACCGTCTATATTACTTCTTTGACCCATATGTTTGTATATATGTACCCTATGAAATGTATTTCATACTGTCGCAATTGATTTTATATTTACGTATGTATTTATCTAATTCTGTCTGAACAAAGTTATAAGACAAGCGTAATAAAAAAAAACGTTACTTGTATCTGTAGGTTCAAAGTAGTTTATGATTCTTGTGTTCTAGGACAAAAGCCAGGCTATGTACACTGTATATGTGTTAGCTGTACACTGTACCCTATGTAATTGTAGTATACTGAATGATATCAGCTTACTTAGTCTAAAGGCTAAATAAGGTTAAGCGATTGTCGACGTTTGGCTAATCTACTTTTATATCATAATACACATAAAGTAGTTCAGGTGAACCCAACCACCAAATGAAAACGATTGGAATATCTTTGTTTGTTGCTAGATGTATCCAAATAAGGTTTTATGAATATCGAACATTTGTTTATTTTCAAATTATGTACATAATCGTACTATTTCAGATTTTCAGTTGGTATTTTTACAATTACGATAAAAAGACTTCATAAAAACAATAATTATATTATCATCTTTTAAGTGCTTCATCTGTTGATTTAAAGTAACCGATAGATAATTACAATTGTTGAATAATTTAAAATGAAAAAAAATAGTTGTTAGGAAAAAAAGTTCATCGTTTTGTGTTATGAACCTAATACATTTTGTCAAGTTTAAAAAAGTTAAATATTTTACTTAAGTTATCCTCCTTTTAACAGGGTTAGTTTATTTTTGAATTTCCCCTTCGATTTAATAGACATAGAGTTCATAGGGGAACAAATATAAACAAATTTAGAAAGCTTTATTTCAGTAATTATAATAATTATGACTTCATATAAAATTTTATATAATAACCTTAAATAACATCGGCGAACCCAGGAAATTCCACCATAAAATAAGAAACAAATACATGTATATTGACCAGATAAAATTGATGACAATGCCCCACAAAATAACAGCAGGAACCCGGTAATATACATTGCCATCCCCAATAAGTTACACAGGAATAATGAAATATTCATCAGACCGTGTCGATTAACGTACAGGCAAAGAACCCCGTTGATATTCTACTAGATCACAGGAATACAATGTAATATTCATCAGACCGTTTCGACTACCTTTCAACTAAAGATTCACGTTAATATTCGTTACAGACCCCTACTTAATAACGATAAAGGAAAACCGCAGGTTACACATACGGCTTGGTTATTTTACGTAATATCTGTTATTGTAATTCACTTACCTGTAATCCCTGTACTTCGTTAGGAAATGTGTCCAATTTTATACTGAATGTAACAACAAGAATCAGTCTGATTGTCCCGCGTCAAGTTATATCCTCCATGTTGTTGTGTAACGACTCGACGTATAGCACCAGTAAACATTGATCCCGGTCAGTATGCTAAATCTTAATAAAATAATCTTGTATAATCCGGTTTTATAATCCTGATAATTTAAGTATTCGCTCAGCGTTGTTATAACATATGTAACAAAGTGTCCAATATAAACAAATATAAACATAAATCAAGTCCTAATATAAAAACATACACATACCTCGTGCATAGTTTACGACGCGAAATAAACAATAAGTCCGGGAAACAAATTAGAGAACTTTGAACCGAAATATTATTTGCTCTTCCAAATATAAAAATAGTTTACAGGGTTTCTGATTTATTCAAAATATTTCGATTACGTAATTAAATTCCAAATACCATGAATATCTAGTATTAATTAACTAAAGAAGAGCCCGTCACTGCAATTTATATAATGACGCTAAAATAAAAACGCAAAAAAGAGACTACTGGGATTTCAGAGTCTATCAGCATTGCCTGGCAACATCATAGCAGATGCTACAGTTTGTACTGGAAACCATATTCTTTCCAGAACAAAACCTGGTTAAAACTCGATCATGTTTTGATCAACAATGTCTTTCCCATGTTGTAATTGTTTTATCGGCTCCGGTTGTTGTCTGTCCTTTTGTATTGGTGTCTCTGTTCCTTTTTATCCTTTTCTTTTTGAGTTTTATTTCCATTTCGTCCATGTGTTGTGTTTAGTATGTGTTATATAATAATATAATAGATCATTGTGGTTTATAATTACATAGATAACACGATTTTATCCAATGCTGTCTCTACTGTTTTATTTATTCATGAATAATTAAATTTGCTCTGCATCCTTCCATTTCAATGCATTGAGAACTTAAATGTTGTTGTGAGACTATAACAACATTTGCTATTGTGACGTCATCAATTTCATTGTTGTCAACATTTCATTTACTGTTCAAAGAACAGTTTGAAATAACTTAACAACCCGTAACTACTCTATCGAAATGTAAATATGAATAATGAGTATTTTAGCAAATGTTGCTATGGTCCTATAACACACCTTTGTATTGCTGACAAACTTACATAAAACCCTAACACCTTTATTAAGTTTTTTTATCAATAGCGATGAGTGTTATAGGACCATAACAACATTTGCTAAATTTTTCATTGCTTAAATAAAACTCTACATTTTGGAAAAGCAAAATATTGTGTTATCCTTGTAGTTTTAATTCAATACAAACTAAACACAGAATGTTGACAACGTTAAAACAATGATTGTACACAAACTAAACTCGGATATTTACATGTGATTGAGGATAATATAATTACCTTGCTTTTATTCTATAAATATGATACAATAATATTTCGGAATGGAAATTCTAAGAAAAATATGACGGAATTGACATATTACTTATGGGACTATACAACGATAGACAGCAAAGATTGTCAAATAATATTGGACAAGAACAATATCGAGATGATAATGATATATATTCATGCAATATAAATTCACGATTTGATATTAATGTTTTAATTCGTGTTAATAATTAAAAAAAAGACCATGTATTATTACATAATTCAATGAATGTAAAATTGTCAATAAATATATATACATATGATGAGAATATTGATGTTATGAAAGTCAGTGAGGTCACTACTGTCTCTAAAACGAAAATATAATTTTAAACGTAAACAAACTAACATATATGTACATGTACATATATATAAAGGAAACTATGAATTATAAACGAAATGTTACATACAAGAATAAACCAAAACATTCAATTAATATGGACGGACTATCACATACCAATAAAGTAATACGGGTTCTTTAACATTATCACATATACATAAATCAAAGGCACCCTGTTGAATAATTACGTGTTTACATATACATTTAAACATAAAAACAACCACTAAACATGGACTAATCATCACATATACATAAAAACAACCACTGAACATGGACATATCATCACATATACATGAAAAAACCCACTGAACATGGACATATCATCACATATACATAAAAACAACCACTGAAGATGGACATATCATCACATATACATAAAAACAGCCACTGAACATGGACGTATCATCACATATACATAAAAACAACCACTGAACATGGACATATCATCACATATACATAAAAACAACTACTGAACATGGACGTATCATCACATATACATAAAAGGTCACCATATTGAATAATGATGGATTATAATAAACATTTAAATATAGAAGCAACCGTTGAACATGGACAAACTAACCCATAAATACAGTCCATTGTACATGGACAGGTTATCGCACACACATAAAACAAAGGCATCCTATTGAATAATGATGACTTATCATATACAGGCAAATTAATATAAAAGCAACCATCAAACATGGACAACCTATCACATACCTAAACTGACAAAAATATTCTATTGAAAATTGATGAACTATCGTATATTATGATAACAAAAACATGGACTATCACAAAGATATACAGGAAAAAAACACCCAATTGATCATGCATGGACGGACTTTAACATGAAACTTTAATTTCTAAATTATTCTCCCTTTTTATTGAAAAAAAATAAAGACATTTATATATTTATAAATATTTGGCAGAATTTCTTTCAAATATCTCATATGAAATATGAAAAGAAATGAATATATCCTTTTTATATGTTTACGCAGACATTTAGTATGGCATCATTGTGATTTTTTTCAGACATCGGAAAATCTTCGAAATCTTTTAAATCACCATTAAAAAGTCTACTAGGTAATATCTTTAAATCATTTTGTTTACGACATCGTATTCTATGTTTGGACATTTCTTCCAATCAAACTCTCATTAGTGTAATTGTATTAAATATTCAGTATTAAAAGAAACCACTCGATAACATTAGAATACTAATGTATGGTCTTTGACACAACACGTGAGTTATGTAATAACAGAATATGTTATATTTACCATTTGAATACTATATACAGTTCACAACCATGACATTACAAAAATAAATTACCGGTTGAATATTTATGGAATTCAAAAAGAAATAATTTAATAATCTATTCAATCCATTTTCGTCACTTAAAATTATCCTGACCATTATCATGTAAATTTTCTGTGACGTCATATATTGACAGTAAGGTTGGGAGTCAGTGATATTGGTCTTAACTACGTCCTTCCCTCAATTGGTAATATTGCTGAATAGTTTGCTTAGAAGACATGGTGAGATATTTAAAGATTTCAGTCGGTTTTCGTTTTGAGAATGCGATATAATTTAATGCTCCAAACTTTATTCTGTGTTTTTATAGGTTTTTGTCAGGAAAGTGTTATTGTCACGTTTGAAACATGCGAATAGTAGCTGTCAATGATAATTTTCTGTATTTGATATCCATGTCTTAAAATTATAAAGATATCATATTATATCAAACCTGGTATATGACCAACTCTGATAAAACGATACAATATGTAAGTTGAGGTCATAAATGTAATTTTATACTTAGAACTTGAACATTAACATGCTACATGTAACATAAATCCACTGTTCAGTTAAAGGCATATAATACCAATAATATATATATAGATGTAATGATGTGATAATGTCATAATATAACAAAACGTGAACTGCCCTATACATGGTCGAATTATCATGTATACAAGATTTATGCATAAGTCAGAGCACAATTATGATAATGTGATAGGTTAATGATATTCAACAATCAGTAGAATCCTTAAGACGATGTGGTTCATATAAAATCGCTCGCACCTCTGGACCTTTCACTGCTGGGATGTTATTAAATGTTGTTTGTTTACTAAGTCCAGGTTTTATCAGGTTATGTGCACCCCCCTCCTCCGGAAACGGATCATACAAACCTACCGGCGATTCAGCATTGGCCGGTATCGCCGCAAGTCTCGGCGGTCGCGAGACTTTAGGTTTGCGCGCCATTCTCTTGGCATCCTCGAGAAAGTTGTGGATGTAGGTATTATCTGTGTTGCTGACACGGTTGTCGTATATCGTGTTATACTCAATACGATTAATAGGGGTAGGAGTGACCTCACCCGAGCTATCTTGGCTGGGATATGTGATACTGTCTGGATAACTCTTCAGGGGAATATCCCAGAGTGTGATGGGATGGCTGGCGGCCTTAGATGGATACCGTAGAAAAGAAGTATCTCGAGTTCTTGGCATGTCTTGCGGCCGGAGAGGAACAGCCGTGGGACAACTAGCGATATCACTGAACGGCACCTTGCGGTCGCCTATTGCTGTTGACGGAATGCTAACACTACTGGCACCTACCGATTTAGTTGTGTCATCTAAGGGACCCGGAGGTAACATTTCTATTTCAGCTTCATCGTTCTTAGACATGAATGACGACGGATACCCGGTAGATTCTGATTTAGAAGAATAACTTTGCGGAAGTGAGGTTGGTGGTTTCAATACACTCAAATCCGTCTGGACGTTTGCCGATTTAAACCTCCGCTCTGGACTACTCATAGCGGAAGTGGATGCGTTCATTGTCGTCATCACTATAGGGTTCAGCGAATCCGGATTAATATACATCGGTGCAACTGCTCTGAGCGTTCTCGGCGTTTTTGCTAACCATGTGTTTGGCGGAAATGGGGACACACAAGATGTTAAGGAGCCACGTCTGTCTGTAACGGTTCCAACATCTTTAGTTGATATTTCCTCCGCGATACTTTCATACTGTGTACCAAACGTCTTAGATTTCGGCGAGGGGTATATGACGCGCTCTGTAACGTCCTCGTACTGGGTTCCTGCAGCCCTAGCCCTAGGAGTGGTATGGATCCGTTCATACTGAGTCCCCATGGACTTGGCCATCGGTGTGTTGTGACTAGTAGAGTATCTACCCGCGGAAGATGGTATTAGTATCGGGACTGCGTCCAATGAATGGTGACTATCGACACTAACCAGTCGCATCGCCCGGGGTTTGACCTCATTAACTCCGTATCCGTCCAGAGATTCCATAGATACCACGCTCCTTGTTCGTGTTTTCCTGCTCATATCGTCTCTCCTTGCATCCTTTTCCATAAAGACGCCGTCCATTCTCTAAAATATGATGGTAAACAAATGTTATATAGAAAATGTCAAGAAATCCTGAATTCAGTATTAAAATGTAAATTGTTATTTGGGTGTTTGAAATGTTAAACATGCTAGTTTATCCACTTAATTCCATTCCGCTATGCAGTGTACAAGGAGCATTAAAATAACTTCACAATTTAAAAGCAAAGACAAAAGCACCGATATATTGACAGATTTTACGCATTGTACACGCTTTGAATGCGTGTTAGTATAATAAGAATGATTTCTTATGTCAACTCAATCTGGAAAAGCTTATACAATTTCATACCCTTTTGTCAAAGACTCTTTCCTCGCCCCTCGTCTTAGCCCCAACAGCTGCCTCCTCGAAGCAACAGCACCGACAGCAGCAACAAAGCAACACCGAAAGCAGCAATAATAACAGTAAGGTGCCGGCAGCGATGGCCACTAACATCCATAGGTCAAGGCCGAGGATCTTGTCGTCACCCGGATCTGTTGTAATGAAGATTTGGCGAGACACTTAAATAACAATTCCAATAAAATGAAGTTTGCAAGAAAGTTGTCATTATATCCCCTTGTTCTTATCGGTTTCGCAGATTTCATTAATCGATAAATTGAATGACAGAAGTTGAGTTATTCGACTTTTACCTGCACACAATACCTCGCCAATGAATTATTCCAGCCAACTAAAGCAATTCCACAACATCAAATTAGCTCCCGTTGGTCAAGTTTAAGGTAGAGATGGATTAATCAAATGTCTCTGTGGTACAGTGTAAACGTTTATCAAAATAACTCCTGTCAACGAGATAAGTAAGAAAGCAGTGGACAACCACGATGTATGGCCGAGGGTGAAATCTTTTGAAAGTGTTATCGTTTATCTGACGCCATTGCAGTATCGGGAGATATCCACAACTTAAACGCTGACAGGTTTACTGTAAACATCGGTTAATTCTACCCTCATGTATGTAATACAAAGGAAGTAAGCTAGTACGTAATACATAATATCAGTGACGATTTATCCGACACATGATACATTATAAAACATGCTTCTCTACGTAAAGTTTGTGTATACTTGCCTTTGCGTGTCGTTGCTGATGGCGTCGTTGTGTGTATCAAGTTGGTCAAATGGTTTGCAGGAAGCTTTTTTGTTACATGTGACGTCACGGATCTACCGGTAGTGGACTTTGGCGCTGATGTTGCACCGGAAGCTGTTAGGTGTACTGTGACTGGTGGAGACGGTTGGTTTGACTTAGTCGTTGGTGTTGACGTTTTCTGGTTCGATGCAGCAGGTGTGATAGAAACAGAGATTGGCAACTGTTTTGGTGTTGTTTTTGTTGTGGTAGGCGTTGATGTCGTTAACGAAGTAATTGTTTGCTTTTTAACTGTCGTCGTTGTTGGAGTAGTAGTGTATGCAGTGGTGGTAGTGGGGGTGGTGGAGGAAGTGGTGGCGGTGGTCGTGGGAGTGGTGACGGTGGTGGGAGTGGTGACGGTGGTGGGAGTGGTGATGGTGGTCGTCGTTGTGGTCGTAGTAGTAATGGTTGTTGAAGTGGAAGTTGTAGTAGCTAAAATTAAATATTATTGTAAAAGAAATACTACTGTTTTGCTTTAAAGACATTGTAAACAATGTTTAATGTAGATTAATTTGGAATATTATGAATTTTTATTCTGATGAATTGCTGTAATTTAAACTGTCTTGAGTAATTGAAATCCACGATATATTTATTTGTTAATGTCATCATCTTCTTTTTACTGTTATTTGTGTTCAACAGACTGATAACTGCATGGATGTATTTGCATAACTGCAAACCATACATGTTTTTAAAAGGCAGATAAAAAGGAAATTGACATACTTTTTAATCTTGAACTTACGTAGTGCACTGGTGGTGACATCAAGCCAGGGACTGCTCGGACGGCCCAAACCAACGTCATTAAGACACTGCACCTGTATCTGGTAGTGTGTTGAGGGCTGTAGACCCCGAATGACCCCGGTCAGGGTGTTCTCTCCCGACACACTGGTAGACATTACTGTGCTATTTCCCGGCAATCTGTATGTCAATCTGAATTCAATAATTAGCATGTGCTTTTCCATTAAGAATATCTAGTACGCTCACTATGTAAACGTTTAATCTGATTAATTATGAAATCAAATTTAGAAGTCACACAACTAAACACGACACATTGTACAAATTATAACATAAAGCGCTTTAATTAGCGGAATTAAGTTCTCACTTTTTTTCTCTGATTAACTCTTATAAAACGTATAAGAATGGCAATGGAATCCTTTCATTTAGATTTCGCAGTTTTGAAGATGCAAATATAGCAAAACGAAAAATCTCGCAAAACATACGATTCAAACGTAAAATATTAGTTCATTAAAAAAGCAATTGAGTGAGCAGGGTTAACCTTACTTGTAACCTAAGATGTTCCCGTTCTTGTAGAAAAGGCTGAGCGCGTCCCACTCCAAGGTGACACTGTCATGCGTGGCTGACAACATATGTAACTTACCCGGAGCACTCCCGGGAACTATGGAACAAAGAAACAACAGTCAGTCGTCAGTGATTTGTAACGTATCTATGCTTTAACGTGTTAACTAAAAGTGGAAATAAAACTGAGATGAAATATGAGGAGGTGGGACCTTTATTCAAAACCCAATATTCCTCAAAAGATATTAAGAAAATATTTCCACTAGACACACACGGATGTTTTTAAAAGCGTACCACAAAGAAGGCACAAAGCATGGTTGGTAATGCGCAGTTTCGTGTGTAGAGTGTGTTTCTACAAACTTTCGTGGTCCACAATAATAACTGATCATCTATATTTATCAATATAATTTACTCACTTGTTTTCGGGGCCTTGTACACAAACATTGGCGAGCGCACCACGCCCTGGTTGGTGAATGCTTCCACAAACACGTTGTACTCGAAGTTAGGGTAAACTCGAACAAAGGACTGATTCACATAGCTGCCTGTGTTATTTCGGTTCTGGTAAATGTGAACTGGTTTTGACGAGTCATAGTGTACCATCCAGTTCAAAACGGAGCATCCTGGCGTTATACCAGCTATACTCCATGTTATTTTTGCATATGTTCTGAAGGGTTCTGCTTTAGTGCTGGTTAAACTTAAACAGGCTCCTATCAAGAAAAAAAGACATTACAGTAAAAGAATATTGGGAGTTACGAAGTGAAAATGTTATTTTATATATCCTTTATTATCCTGAGATCCTGATATCAGGCCGAGTGACGGGTATGGGTATTATATCAGCGTGAATGGATAAATAGCTATCGGCATGACTTAGAGGGAGAAACTATTTATCATTACACCAGGCACAGATAAAGAGAAGATTTAAATCTTTACTGTTGAGTACCACATATTCTTGTGTTAATTATGTTTCTTAACATTTTTGAAGTACGAAGAAGAGAACATGTTTTCATCAAGAAAGTGCGGGAATATGTAGCGTAATCTGTGGTGATCGTGTCATATTCTACAGACTTCAAGAGAATATCGAATCGTTAAAAAAACGCAATTCGTTCTCAAAATTGATCAAACTAGGGCAAAATATGAACAGAGACATGATAACATCGAGACACTTGAAAAGTACAAAGATAATATATTATACCAGAGATATTACTAACAAGAAAGGGAAAGATCACAACAGAAATCGAAATCGTCACGCTTATTGTACAGCTAAGATATAGGACGTCCTTGTTTTTCATTTGGCAAGTTATGATAGAGGAAACAGCTGAAGTAGACGAATATATAGTGTTCTTTTAATCAAGTTCAATAGGGTATATACGATCGATACATTTCTTGCTATTTAATTGTCTATATATCTGACAGAGAACGTGAGGGCGTGGTTTTTGTCATCAGTCCTAATAAGCTATTCAATAAACTCAAACACCTATGAGAACAAAACAGTCGGACAGAAGAGGGTAGTTTGATCATATAGGAATGCCTATAGTCTGCTGAAAAATATTGCCATCAATTAGAATGATTTCATCAGGGACTCATTTATTTTCCCAATTTTGTCGTCATTATATTTCGTTTAGGCCTCTGTTGTGTTTAATTGTATCGATGATCACCTTTTTTGGAAAAGAACGTTTTTGAGTATGACGTTATCAAAACATGTTCTAAATTGATAGTCACTTGTAACATTTATTAAACACTATGTTGGGTGTAAAATAGATTTAAACAGGGAGAAAATTTGACATAGTCTTACATTTGATATTGTATTTGTTCTTGAAAAAAAAAATCACGAATAATTAACATTATGCAGAACAATATGGTGTATCGTCAAATCATTTTGAATGTTAAATATATGTTACCTACATTGTACGCAACACCATAACTAAACTATTAACTTAATCTGTAACTAATATCATTCGTCCCCGTCCTGTCAAATAATTGATTAAATCATTTTTCGCCTTTAAAATATTAAAAGGGATATCATATTTGTTTTAAAATAAGGGGCATCATATGACTTATATCATTCGGACTACGTGGTAAAGCTTAAGACCATGTAGCTTACACAGTTGACTTCACATTATTCAACAATGTAATGACCAAAGAAAATGATAAGATGATGCAATGTGTTATTAATAGTGAACCATTCAGGAAGCATATTATTGCTCGTAATCACTAGATGTACAAAGAAAAATTGCACCAACTTTTAAAGATGATTAGGTCGATATAAAAAGCCCAAAACATAATCGTCAATAAGAATTAAAATTCCTTATCAAATCCACCTGAAAGTAGTAACATTTGAAATTCGGTATTTCTATTTATCTAGTTGTTAAACTGAAGCGAACGGATTTGGCATTGGTTATTTCAACATTAAATTAGCACTCTCTACAATATATTTTCATAAATAAACGGATAACAAAACTATTTATCACATTTATTGTCTTTTCCTTTCTATTTTAAGTTTCGGGTTTGTATGTTGACGTTATGATGTTTTTATATTTCATGTCAACAAATTGCATTATTTCAAAAATAATCTGTGATTATCCTTCGAAATACCAAAGTGCATAATACAATTTCAAAAGTATCGCTTTAGTAAATTACGAGCTTTAAAAAATTCAAGAATAGATAGATTTTGAAAAAAAAGTCTTAAAAAAGCGCATATTATAAATGAAGAATATTGACATCATCAAAGAAACTTAAAACCAGTATTGGGTAATAGAAATTTATAAGTTTAATAATATAAACAAAACATTGAAATGAGTGACAAACGTGATGGTACCTTATTATGATTTTTTGTTTTACATATCTTAATTTTTTGGCCTTGTTGCTTCGTTTAGTCTGTATCTATTTCACTTTAAAGCTTAACTGTCATTAAATCAAGTACAAATCTTAAGAAAAAAGGGGGAAAATTCGGATAAATAATGATTATATAGATATGTACATCATGGAAGTCCCAAACAATAATCAAGCATTAAATTGCTTTCAAATTCAGTTAGTTTTTTGGCAATATGAATGTCCATAGCAAAACAGGAAAATGACATGAACTGCAAAGTCATTCAATTATGTCATTTTATTGAGAACATTGTAATTAATGAATTAAAAAACGATTAAATAAAATTATATAAGGAGTTCGGGCCCAATATGGCGTCCACTTATTCTATAGAGAAGGGATATTAAATTAGTGTCCCGAAAGAATAAACATGTTTTAAAGAATGCATTCTTAGTTTTGTTGAAATAAAATTATCTAATTTATGACATATCACTCGCTGGTATAACCTGCTGCTGATGTACTTACCGTGTATAACAGGGAGAAGTATGATCCCCAACACCAAGGCTGCGGCTACACGAGACGGCCTACCATCAGTCTGTAAACGTCTTCTCCGCTCCGTATCCATGTCTTTATGAGGTCTTCCTATATACACAATTACTATTCATTCCATTGAGCATAAACAGTAAAATCCATAGAAGTTATTGTTCGAATTTGCTCTTCCTTTTCTTAATCGCACAAACACCTTTTTCCTAATCGCACAAACACTGAAGAAATGCGTCCATAATTATTTGCACCAGAGGTGGTTTTAGCTAGCTATGTAGAAATGATGAATATTGAAATGTATTCTTATCCTATTAAAATAAATTACATTTAAACAACTTCCTTATACATGGCAGGATAAAAAACATCTCCGTAAGAAAACTTGCGTCGATTACATCATAGTATGTCAACGCTGTTCAGGCTCGAACGCGGTCTGTGTTGACGCTTTAAGAAACATTTGTAATAAGTTACAATAACACTGCCAAACCATTTGTAACTTTTATGACACGCCACTGATATACAACTCCATAGATAACCGCTGTGTATTCAGAAATACATAAGTTGACGTTTATATATATTGTTGAACCGGGGGCAGATTAGAGATAATCGACGGAACGAAAACGTCGATAAAATCCTAATTGATATTGCCACTGTCCGATAAGCCATAGAGGACGCGCTCTTTGACATGTCCATAATGCTGCTACTTATAACACTGGTCCGATAAATGGAACCTTACTTAATATGTCTGAATACCTTCGGTGGGGAGAAAGTTGTTCATTGTAAATGAAATACATAGAGGTAAGGAGGAATCAAACCAGCATCAGTCATATAAGGAAACCCCACACCCTCTATCTATCACTAACCAGGTCAGTAGGTTGTACTGGTGATTGAAAAATGGCGAAATTTAACTGAAGACCATATGTAATGTCGAAGATTATAAGGCAAATTTGATACGTCCTGGTATAAAACTTTAAATATTGATTAAATTTGACCATCGCGTGTCTGATCCTACACATCAACCCTAGGGAGAGAAAATGTCACCTTCACGTATATATTAGCGGTTGTCTCTGACCGTAGCATATCAGACAAGGTCATTTTGAGAATGCTGAATAGAGTAGGTCAGCAGGAACAGATAAATATTTTTTGGTATTATAAATATTTGTATTTTCACCAACACTAGAGATAGTGAGTTTTGCTAAGGAAAATCACAAGAGGAAACATGGTTTATTCATTGGGGTGGGGTAATTCCTGATTTCCCTAATGAAGCATGAAAACAAGTACTTTACGATATCATCTTAAAAAAAATGCTTCTGAAATAAAAGAAAATACAAAGTGCGTCAACTTTTACAAAATGATAAACATTACTATGTATATTGTGTAAGAGGTTACAATCATTCACGAATATAAATAGTAATGAATCATAGGAAATTCTTAATCCCAAGTCATCCTGACACTTATGGTATTTATACAATGAACATTCACAATACCGAGTTTATTCAGTACAATGACAATACCTACCCTCAGCAGACAAAGGGTCATCTTATCATACTTCGAACCAATCATATATGAGTGAATGTATTGATTTCATAGCAAACGTATCGTTGTATTATTAATCACGATTTTGACAGTATTTACGTATGTAAGCGATTATACAAACATGTCAACTATTTTGGTCAGAAAACAGCCAACAGGAACTACAATAATCATACGCCCAAACCCTACACGATCCTTCTTAATTACAATGTACCTGATGGCCTGCACTTGGTTCCAAACGTAAGAGATAACAGACTGAATAATCAAGACGATCCCAAACATTCATATTATATGTCAACAATTTGCTACCTTGATATCCCATACAAGTACTTGTTTACATCCTTGTTTTCAGTGAAGAACATTTCACCAGACTATCAATACCCCTATGGTTATCAAATGTGCACAAAATTTAGCCGATCATTGCGACTATTGAAGAAAAGAGAATGCACACGCCAATTCAATTCAACTTTATTCTCTTTCACAATACATTGTATAGAGAAACATATTTACAATATAATATATAGTAAATGAAGTGCCCGATTTTTCATTTCATCCTTAATATGCTTTATTTTCATTATTTTTTGCTAATAAATTACTTTTCTTTACGTTTCTTTAAAATTCCGTCTAGTTCGAAATATGAATCGATCTAGAATATTGTATTGGGTCTTGCGTTTATTGTTTTTCAGGTCGTATTAAGGACTTTTGAGAAAATGAAAATGAAGTTTCTCATCGGTTCCTATTGGTTCCATGTATATTTTAGTATCTAGATATAGAGATTTCATATTTACAAATAAATATATATAATATCTGTGTAAATCTTTATTTTATTCATATTTCCCCTGATTTCAACAAGTTGTTAACACGGTTTCGCTAACACATTGGTATTCTCTTTATTTTCATTTAAGAAATCGTCTAATTTATAATTAACTATCATGATCTATCATCTGTTCTGTATAATTTACGATCAACTGGACATCACATTCACAAGGTATTTGTTTTCGTACAAGTCTACAGAGAGATACTTGCAAAAATCTCAAAAATAGTTACATATATGAGACGGATTATGCAAAGAACATGTTGCGTTTGTTACTCATTTTGTTAAAGTCCTCGCGAATAAACCGCTAAATGGAACATCGTAAAACCAAATTAACGCGAAAATGAACAGATGAACAATATTCATATATGACTGATATGTGTACCATACAAAAATAGTTCCAGACCTATTTTTATATGAACAAAGTTCCTTTTCGTAAACGTCGTGTCAATACCTCATGAACTGTTTATTTCTTAAACTGTATAGTTATCAAAGGTATAAGTACCGTAATAAAAACATTTCATACTTACTTTCTATTACCACATGTTTAAAAATAGTTTATTACAATGTACTAAAGCTGATAGTAAGAGAATATCATTCAGTGCATTCTCTGTTTTCTTTGCAATGGTTTGTTTTTATTGTATGGCATGAATTGATTGGTCATATTCACTCAAACGATATTGATCTTCATTTGTAGTCAACGATCTTTAAAGCTTTCTAGTTTTAAACATGAGAAAGCTATTACATGTGCTTCGAAGGGTGTATTTCTATGTATTCCTCGTCGAAAAAAAAATCTTTTAAATGTTATATCGATGGTTTTAGGTACTCACATGGTTCATTACTAGTAATTAGCTTTGACATTAATTGCCTCCAATGGCGGATGTACTCCCACCCCTTGTTTCACGTTGTAAGTCAACTTTGAAATATTGTCCAATAATTCATGAGGATATGAACGTAGTACTTGTTTGCCACATTTGATTAAGTGGGTGTCTTGTTTATAAACAATTTTTCTTCGTGGGTGTGAATGTGAACAGGATTTGATCTATGCTTTACACAGTTAAAAGGGGTAAGTAGTTTGTTTCCTTTATATAAGTAATATATAGATAACGGAAATGGTATCCTGTTTGTCAAGCTGACCTCTGTCGTAATTAGCATTGTTTTCTTACCAAAGTGGACGTACGTGTGGTCTGGATATCCTACAGACACGATGACCGGTGGTCAATAGAATTGTGTTCACCCGAATATGGTCAGTCGTATCTGTAACAGGAAGGGCTTTATTTTAAGACATTAACCTACACCGTTAATTATATCTTGCCAAGCGTCCTATCTACAACTTTGTATTTGCAGTGCCAACCATGATTACAAAAACAAATATCCACTACCTTATAGATTTGACTAGATACAGGTGCGAAAGTGGTGGAGGAATGCTTACACTTCCGCACCATCTGGTTTTGACTATTTTTGTGGTCTGTTCTAACACGTTTGGCTTCATTTTCATCATGCATATTGTTTGATGGTATATTCATTATATTGCCATGAAGTCAATATTTCATATTTACTACTCTTCAAATTGTGTAAATTCGAGTTAATGAAGAACATTTGAAAATAAAATCCCATACAATGCATTTTTTTTTAATTTTACCAATTACAGAAATATCATTGATTTATGCTACCTCTCAATTGCCTTTAGGTTAATCAAATTTTAAGCGGAGACCCTGCCATACGAATACTGCCCAGCGAGGTAGCTTTCAAATTACAGTTTTAGTAATCAGTCTTTACCGAAAGGACGATTTCTCTCCCTTCGTTCGTACTACCCACATCGACATCGGAACACAAAGAAACGAGGAGAGACAAAGAGAAAATGGAAAAATTATATTCCCAATGGAAAACAAAAGGCGTCGATACAAGGTATAAAGTCAGTAAATGATGATTATTTATTTACATGTGACTATAAACTATTTTGCAATTAAAGTACAAGGTTTTGAATACAACATTCTCTATCATTTTTTTCTGTCAAACCGATTCATAAATTTATTGAATTGAATTTAAAAAATGATTAACTTCAAAACTTGCTTTCCATATTGGTTGAAGTCAAATAAGGAATTGTCGAGTAAGCATTAATACAGTATTTCCATAAAGTAATTTTCTGTGAACCTTCATATCGTTATTTAATTAACAAAAGAACGAATTTATAACCTAGTGATGTGAAACAAGATAAAACATTTTTATCTATTCTAAAGACATTTCACTGATGATGGCATATATGGCAGAAAAATAGTATAGACCATAGTATCAACACACAAGGACATAATGGGAGCTCAAAGTAGATCTAAAAAGACGACAGCAAGAACCATGGATCGTAAAACAAAATGAAGAACATCATGAACCATCATTAATGAAACTGGTAAGGTAAAAAGTAGTTGTGATGTTACCCCTCGGATACACAAAGGTTCTTAAAACAAGTTATTTTAACTTATATTAATCACTCCTGTTGGCCTTGATGTAAGTGAGCGAGGAGTCTGAATGTGTGAGGTAACCGGGGTAGCTGGACAGGTGACCCTATATCGTTTAACAGATAATTACTTAAATGTTAAAATTATTAATGATTCCTTTTAGCTACAACAATGAACTAGCGCAGATGTGTGATGGAAAAGTATGCAACTTTTCCTGGCTACTTCATGGTAGTGTATTTGTCTTTAATCTGTTTTAAATTAATGGCGTCGATATTGTTGACAATG